AAAAACTTTGATGAGGCTTCAGTAAGGTATATAGATGAGAAATTAATGGTGAAGCAGAAGTTGCAATCAAGCATCGACTCTCATGGTTAGGATAAATTAAAACTCTAGAAATTCCAAATGGATATTAAAATGCTCTCTCAAAAAACTTTGACAAAACTATCTTAATTATTCCATTGATTGGCTATTGTGAATACAACAATATTGAGATGATTCTTCTTTATGATCACATGGCTCATGGAACATTGAGTCAACATTTAGATGAAAAAAGCAAGTCCTTTCTTGGTTGGAATGATGCTTGTGTACACGATCCGAACTAAAAAATTTAAACAATAATGGTGAGTTTCCAAAAAATATCTCATCCAAACATATCTCATCAGGTGAAAAACTTTTTGTATTTGAGATTGACACATATCTACTATTATCTTATATTTAATTATTTAATTAGAAGAAAAAATAAGATGCGACGATTTGAATTGATAATCATTTAATTATCAAATCTTTGATACTATTTGAAAGAATAATTCTAACAAAACGACAAAAAATGCTAAGTCTGTAGGATGAGGTTTTAGAAATAATTTTATATTACTTTTTAATAAGAATTTGGCTACTAAAGTTTCTAATTTCAAGTTGTTAAAAGCAATTCTTACATCGAAAGACATTCATATTAGCAGGTACAAAAATCAAAGGTAATTTTAGCTATTTGGATTCGGAGTACTATGCTTCACGAAAATTAATTTTAAAATCCAATGTCTTCACCTTTGGAGTTGTGTTATTTGAGCTCATGCGAGCTCGACAAGATGTGAACAATGAATTCCCACCATACATGCAAGCTTATCAAAGTCAGCTATTGTTTGCCAAAACTAATGGAATTTCAATGGGATTCTAGACCCTCACTTCATTGGAAACATTGTGGCCGATTGCTTGAGAATAACTTACGGTAATAAATGGTACCTTAGCAGTTGGCTTGATCAAATTTTTCTCCTCTAACAAAGGCGTGAACCAATATCAACGTGCTTGAGCTCGAGTCTGAGCATTTCTTTATGGGATTGGAGAAGCAAATGTGTCATATATTTGATCCACATCTACGTGACTTCCACATCAATGTAACTTGCTTGTTTAGAGAAAAAAAGTGGTGAAACCTAAAATACAATTTATTGACAACAAAAGGTTAATTAATGACCAACATAGCGTCTCTTACATAAAATAAATAAAAGAATATTCTGGCATAAAAGAAAAATCACAAACGCATAAAGGAAAATATTAATGATTCAAATCCAAATAAATATGAATATATAGCTTATATAAAAATGTAGAGAAGTTGCGACCAATTAAAGTCACTTGATTATTTTCTTTTCTTTTTTTAATTCCGACCATGATTTTTTTAATTCCGATCTAAAATTGAAAATATAAGGGTTGATTCGATTTAATTATTTGTATAGGGGTTAATTTAACCAAATCAGTGAAGTAAAAGGACTTCCTTGACCTTGAGCTGGAAATTTTAGCATGTCCCACTTTTGATCTAGGACCAAAGAAAATAGTTAGTTTCTGCGGGTATGTAATAGGCACAGCGAAAATAAATACTTGTCTTGAATGGAAGATCGATATCAATTGGAAATTCTCAATTTTTAGGGTTTTTTGATAAATCTTATTTTAATTTTTCTATTTTAATAAATTAAGTATTATCTCTGTTAAGAGATGGTTCTATCTGATTTTTTACCCACATTAAAAAATTTATTAATTATTATATCATATCAATATATTTTATTAATACTTTTCAAAAATATTATTTTTTAAAAAAATTGGAACAATATTTTACAATTTTGATTAATAAAAATAAATTTGATCAAATAAATATTTTAAAACTAATATATATATAAATATGGACGATATCTTTAGACAAAGAGAGTAGTATAATTGCATCTCTGATCTAGATTGGCAAAAAAATAAAAGAAAAAATCATTTTCGGATCCTATTTTTCTGATCAAATTTTCTTGCTTTCTATTCAAAATGCATAACCAATAATAAAAAGTTCAGAAATTGTATTATCTCGGAGTTTGGTCAATACTCTTTGAACATAGCATTCTGATGATTGAATAAATGCAAATTAATCTTCCTTACAAAAACAAAGGCACCATTTAATTACAGAAATTCCTTTGTAACAAATTGTTGTGACTAGCTTTTTTTTTTTTTTTTTTATAACATATGCCATGATCAGATGCTAATATGCAAAACACTTCTAAATTTCCTAGCATTAAGAATTTCTTAAGCTCATTAATTTTGAAAAAAAAACGATTGATGTAGAACGTGGGAGAGGTTTCAAATTATATTGTTGTCATGTTTACTAATGTTTTTTTTTCTCAAGTATTCTTATCCTATATTGAAGATAGAACTAATTCTGTTCGGAGTAAAAATTTACTTGAAATCGGTTTGCTTATCACTAGATCAACAATTTATTGGTGTTTACTAATCTTGTTTTCATATATATATATATATATATATATATATATATATATATATATATATATATATATATTGGAGGCTCGGTCCATATAATAAGTGGTTTCATGTAATCTAGGTTGTAAATTCAAAAATAGTTAACCAAAATAAAATCTACCATAAATAAATTCATTCATACCAACGGATGTTATCTAACATTAAGTAAGTTGTCTTTATTTAAATTAAAGTTCAATTTTTATCATGCACGGATAATTAACCATAATTATTTTTTATTAATACCAGTTTTGGGCTTTTTTGATATAAGAGGAAGTCCAAGTGGTCGACCAAACACTAAATATGTTTTGGCACCGGCTTAGATCAAAAAATGATTGATTTAGTCTTGATTGATATAAAAACTGATCCAAAAATACTCTACTAATTATAAATATATATAAAAAAATACATTCATTAATTCCTTCAAGTTCATTGATCTTATTCTAATTAAGTTCTAACATATAGTACTTTATGATATGAATAGGAAGATTGAAAAGGATTAGCATGGCAGCAAATTTCGAAGTCAAGTATTGATTAATTGGTACCCTAAAAGCAATATTGTTTTACTATAAATATATATTTTATGAGTAATGCTACATGACACTAGTGGTATAAAAATAAAAAAGTCATCATAATTTTATAAGGACAGTGTTTTTTGAGGAATACAAGGAAGGAAAAAAAGTTGATTACTTTATTTCAAGTAGGTACTATGTCATTTAACTTTTTCACTTTTCAAGTTTATCTCTAAATATTTTTTATTTTTGAAAATAATGTCTGCCATCATAATGTCGTTAAGCATTTTTGATATTTTATACTATAGGTTACAATTTCTATATCATCACAATACAAAATAGGTGTTTCCTAGAAGTTTAAAAAAACAAACAGCTAGCATTTACTATTACCCGATTTTGCATTCAATGGCCGCACCACCCAAATACCACCTATGAATTAGTGTCTTGTCCTTGCCAACATTGGAGAAAGTGGCAAACTGTAAAATTTAACCTAATTAAGAAGGGACTGCCTCCCTAGACCAAGCTTGTTATCTCCAGCAAACACTTTGGCATTTAAAGATCAAAAACAAACAAGGTTAGTACTTCCCAATACTCTACAAGAAAGATTAATTACTTAACAATCCCATAATAATAATTATACTTTTGATTTAGCCTAGGGTTTTGTGAAACCCTAGCTAGCAACAATATTTATGTATATAGTCAATGAGCTAGCTAGCTAGATGATGATTTATTATTATTATTTTTCTATTGTTTAAATGGTTCATGTGGATGACATAATAATTAACAAAAACCCACACACGATGACTCCTGGAGACAAGGTTGTTAAAAGATTATTATTAGAAGGGGAATATTTGGGAGAATGAAAGGGAATTAGAAGGTAATGTAGAATTAGGGTTTACGATGTATCCACATGAAAGCAAACAAACAACCCTTTATGTGGGTGTCTTATTACATATACAAAAAGGTCAATGGGTCTACCTATATAATACAAAAAAAATACATGTAGTATTCTTATGTATATCGACAATTTGGTCCTGATCTAATGATCTCAATATCTCCTGAGAATTTTGGGGAAAAAATATGTTTTTTAATTAATTTTTAATTAATTAATATGTTGCATAATTGCCAACCAAATCCATTTAAGCAAATTAAAACAAAAAAAAAAGAGAAAAAGTTATTGAAATTGATGAATATATTGCATTGAAAGAGAGAGAGAGAGGAAGAGGGGAGAGAGGCGAAGAGTGTGGGGGGTAAGGAAGAGTCTTTCTCTTTCTAATATTTGCTATCCCGTTCTCTACGGAGAAGGAAAATCAAAGTGATGAAAAGTGATTTTTTTTTTTTTGGGTTATTTATATATATATATATATATATTGAGTTTTGACTAGATAGAGAAAGACCTTGTGTTCTTCTTCTCTCTAGTGTCATTTTCCAAGATATACTCTCGAGGTATGCAAACCAAAAACCAAAACTCAAATCTCTCTCTTTCCTTTCCTTTCAATGCACTTTCAAGATTTCAATTTTTTTAAAAACAAATATATAGTATTATTTAATTTAATTTAATTATTTTTATTTTTATTCTTCTTTTTCCTTCTTCTTTGCCTAACAACACACATCCTTCTCTCTTTTTTTATCTCTTGTTCTTTATCTACCTTTCACTCTCTCTCTCTCCCTCTCTCTTTCTTGAGCATGTTTGTTTGTTGATGAAGATTTAAACAGACTTCTCTTTGCTTCAACTTCCTGTCTCTCTCTCTCTCTCCCCCTCTTTCTTTAAGTCTTTAAAGTATAAATCAATGGAGTGTTCTTCCTAAGCTTTTTATCTGTTCTTATGTCAAAGCTAGCTTGCCGTATCTCTCTCTAGATAGCCAATTTTCACATGTATTGTCAAGGAGAAGGAAGAGAGGAAAAAGATTAAAGACACCCACTTCACTATACTTGCACTTTATTGTTTTGCTTCCAAGTTAGATTAGCCAAAGAAAAAGCCACTAACTTGTAAAGAAAATGCCCTTAGAAGGGGTTTTCATTGAACCCTCTTCAAGCCCAGTTCCTGATCTTTCTTTACACATCAGTCCTCCTAATATTTCCTCTCCTTCTTCAGTATGTAACAGCAACAGCAACAACATTAGCAATAAAGTGGATGCAAGCTTCGATCTTTTGGGCAGACAGGAAGCCATCCATAAGTCCAATACAGTTAGCTCCATGAGAAGTGATTGTCAAGCTTATATAGAGCTCTCTCTAGCACACCCAACAACTGGCCTTGATGAAGAAAGTATAAGAAGTAGAAGAAATCTATCAAGTGCTAGAGCGCCAGAAGAGCTACCTCATCACAACCCTTATCATCAACAAAGTCATAATCATCATCACCATCATCATCATCTTCAACATTCTAATGGTGCTACCCATCACTTGAATCATATAAATCATGGGGTTTCTCTACTTGAAGTATCAGATGGTTTGAGGCCAATTAAAGGGATTCCAGTTTATCACAACCGTTCCTTTCCTTTTATGCCTTTAGAACATTCATCAAGAGAGAATAAAGATCCCAAGATGTGCTTCTACCAAATGCCCTATCCTTCTTCCTCTTTGTGCTCACCTTCTGTTAATCCTCACTCTTCTTCTTCCACTTCTTCACCTTATAGTATCGGAGGAGGAGGTTTAGATCCCATGTCCATGTTAAACTCGTCAGGGCCTAATCAAGCTTTGCCAGGTCCTTATAATAGATTAGCACCAACAAGATTCAATGGGCTCTCAATGGATGCTCTCAAATCCCACCAATTGCACCACCATCATCATAATCAATATGGAGTTGGATCTAATGAGGGTTCTCCCCATGGCTTGATTAGATCAAGATTCTTGCCAAAGATTCCAACAAAGAGAAGCATGAGAGCTCCAAGAATGAGATGGACGAGCACTCTTCATGCTAGATTTGTTCGTGCTGTTGAGCTTCTTGGAGGCCATGAAAGTAAAGAACTTAAAAAATTTCGTCCACTTTTCTTCTTTTCTTTCTTTCTACAATAATTTGTCTGTGAATGATTGGTCTTCGAGTTTTAGAGAAACCCTTTGAATTTTAGAGATTTCTTAATGTTTTGGCATGTTTTGTTTTGACTTTTATTACTTATTTTTTTCCTCTTTCTTGGATTGGCTTGTTGCTTATAGGAGCTACTCCAAAGTCAGTTCTTGAACTCATGGATGTCAAAGATCTCACATTAGCTCATGTCAAGAGCCATTTACAGGTAAATCACAAAATAAGCGAATGAATTAGCAATCTCTCTCCCCTTCTTTCTCTGTCTCTCTCTTGCTAGAATGTGAGGATAGAGGAGTGAAAGGTGTATCCCAAAGGCACAATAGCCAAAGAAGGCAGTAAATGGGCGAATTAAAGAACAGTAGAGAAAGAAAATTAGCCAGAAACTTCTGAAAGGTCTCAGGCAGACAAGTTTCTGCCTTCAAAGAAAGGGAAAAAAAAAAAAAAACAGAGAGAGAATGATAACAGACAAAAGTAGTCATCATTTCTCAATAATACGCTTACTCATTACTAAAACCTTATCAAACATCAACCTCGTGATTAATGAATCAATCCAATACAAGCACAGAAGCCCAGGGAGAGAGAGAGAGAAAGAAAAAGAGCTAGCTAGAGGTTGATTATAAAAACAAAATTTAAAATACTTTTTCTTCATTTATAAATTTAATTTCTCATTTTTGCTAGCTAGCTCATATTTCTTTCTTTGAATGGTCTTTGTTTTTCTTATACCTATGGATTCCCATTGGACTTTGCAGATGTATAGAACTGTTAAGACCACTGACAAGCCTGCAGCCTCTTCAGGTAATTCGTATTGCTTAGTCTTCAATTTTTCAGCTTTTTCTTTTTTTGAGGAATTGGACTTTTTTTTTTTTTTTTTTCGGTTACTAGTTGTTATTTTAGCTTTTTACTCCCTTTTTTGCTTAACTTCCTAACCCATTTAATCACACTACCAGTAAACCCTATTAATCAATGATTTTCTCATCCCTTGTGCACCACCATACATACATATATACACATAATGCATGCATGCATATATATATATATATATATATATATATATATAAACACAGTAGATTCAAGAACTTTGTCTTTGCCAAGAGATCTCGAGTTGGAATCCGGTGCTTGTCAAAACGACAATGAAATTTAAAAAAAAAAAAAACAAAACTGTAATTTTTTATGTGTGCTATATGAATGTATATGTGCATGTTTTTGGATTTTTGTTAATTTATTTGAGGGATTTGGTGGGTATGAATATTAATTGGTTGGAGGGTAAAGCAGATGGATCTGGAGAAGAAGACATATTGTCACCAATTGGCAGTTTTAGTACTGGAAATGAGCGTGGTGGACTGCAAAGAGGGGTACAATCAGACGGGTCAACGGTACAGCAAGACATGGACTACCCTTCACCTGCTGCTGCTTCAACTCTATGTAGTAATTCTTCAAGGTAACTCTTCCTCTCTTTTATAATTTTTGGCACAGAATAGGCAAGCTAGAGAAAGAGAGAGAGAGAGAGAGAGAGAGAGAGATCTGCTGTGCCCTACACTTTTCTGAAAGGAGAGTAATGGAGTAATTAAATAGCTAGAATGCTTTCTTCTTTTTTTTTTTTTTTTTTTTTTGCATGGAACTTGATTAGCTTAGAAATCCGAAATCCACCCACGTCCACAACATTGTTTTTGAAGAATAAAAAGGAGTTCTTCTCCTGCATGTTATAGGCAGACAGCTTTTTTTTGCTTTCTGCATTATAGTACTGTATAGAATTATATGTTCTTCTTTTTCTTTCTTTTCTTTTTTCATCTTTTATGTTTTGGAAGATTTTCTTGCTGACATGAGATTTGCAGTAGTAGCTTTAATGTTTTAGTGTTTATTATATAAAATAAAAGTTATCAAAATGCAATCAAACGCTAATTAGGATAAGAAAGAAAGCAATTCCCGCAGCTACACTTTTTCTTTTTCTTTTTAAGTTTTTACTATATAATACTACGATATTACTGTTAAACTCAGCTGCTTCTTATTCCCTCCACGAGGACACATTGCATATTTCACCAAAAAGATCAGTTCCTATCTTGACTTATTATGTGCTTTCTTTTCCTCAAAGTTCAAATTAAAAATTCTAGTGCTGTTGTACATTGTTTAATTAGTAGTTAATTAATTAATTAATTAGTAACTGCTCCCACTAATAGCAGGTCGATCGATTCACCCCTTTTTTTTTTCGATTTTATCGGTAAAGGTGTTCTCGAGCTAGGAAAATTTTTCTTTAACAAGATGATACTCCAGTGGGTTTTTTTTTTATCAATTATAGTCTTTCAATTGATTCTTCTTGTACTATATTCTTCTAGTTTAATAAATATTGAAGAGTTTACAATTATATTAGGTATGTATTAAGGTGGAAATTCGCAATTTGCATTGCAATGTGCAATTATAGCAGGTTTAAGATGCTACATAAACTGAGATGTAATTATAAATTGATGACATATTTATCTTATTCTAGGTATCATAATTTCAAAATTAGTCTAATAAATAAGATGTCTCTACTTTCCAAAGAAAAAAAAATTAAACACAATGAATTTCTATATTGCAAATAAATTACTGCATGTTTTAGTATCAAATTTAGATTATGTTCCGACGAGTTTATCGAATAAAAACTAATGCTGAAAAAAAAATACTACCATTTGTGCATTCAATGATGTTTATTTAAGTATTAGTTTTGATTTCTTAAAAAGGATTTTGCCATGAAAGATAGACAGAAATAGAAACAAAAACTCAGCCTAATAGAGTTTTACTGGCTACTAGTAGATTTTTAGAAGTAATTAATAGCTTTGATCTTAGATACAACCCTATCTAAGTAAAACTTTTTAGGGTTTTTAAGGCCACTTAATTAGCTTAGAATTAAGCAACTAGCAATTTCTGTACTGTTGACATTTCCTCAAAGGTCATAGCTTTGAAGAACATTTCATCTTTCTCTCACTGCCTGTAACATCCTTTTCAGGCCGTTCTTAAGTACTTAAAAAGCATTCATTGACATGACATGCATTATATAGGCACAAAGCCCTTGTGCATGTATTGAATGTGACTTTTTGTTGAAGGGAAAATGATAGATATTGAGCCTTTATAGGCAGTGAAAATGAGAGTTGAGCTGTTCTTAATTAAGCTTCAGCTAAACAAATGGTGTTCTACTATAGAAAATGGTATATTATATGTTATTTACGTAGCTTTTGGACAACCTTATGAGCTATATAGATGTGTTTCAAGCCAATTAAAAGTTATGTGTACATTTCAGTGGTAGGGAAGCATGGCAGCAAACAAACTCCAGGGACATGGATGGGCACAGACAGGGCATATTCCAGTCACAACAAAGATCTGAACAACAAATGGAGGTATCATCTCAAAGTCCTTCAAAAATTGATCAGGAGATCAAAATTTTTAGCAATCTAACATATGGGAAAGGAATTTTAATTACATGGATTTGCTTGATTATTACTTACAAGAGCTAACATAAACATCTCTTAATTAATTCTGCAGGAATGCGATTCCACTCTGCTGAAAAGCTACCTGGGAACTTCTTATTTGGATTGCAAGAACCCCAGCTTGGAGTTCACATTAGGTAGACCAGACTGGCAAGGGAAAGAACATTGCTGATCATGCATTAACTTTTGCTATATACCATGGTTGTATTGTTTTTTTGTATTGAGTTTCATGAGTAAAATTTCATAGTCTTCATGAATGAGAGGGAAGTCATAGATATATATTGAAAAAAAAAAAAAATTGTTGACTGGGGAAGAAGGAAACAAAAGAAGGGTAATTAGTTCTAGTTCAGTGTCATTTTAAGTCTTTTTTGCTTGAAGAAAATGTGTATGTTTTGTGGCCACAAACAAGAAACCAGGAGGGTGATTATCAGCAATGAGGAAAAAAAAGGAAAAAAAGGGAAGTAGGAGTGCTTACTGCTAATTAATTCATTTCATTATGTTAATTGTGTTTTTTTTTTCCTCAGCCTATGCTTTCTGCATTCTGGTTCTGATTATAATCTTAGTGACATGGAATGAAGCCTGTGAGGCTGCAACTATGATTATCAAAGCACACAGTTAAGGAAATAGCTAACCAGGCAGGCATTTTTGTTTGTGTTTGATTGCTTGAAAAGCTGAAATTTGGTAATGGAACGAGCAATTATTTTGATTTTGGAGAAAGCCCTTTTTTGTTCTCTGGCATTGATGTCTGACTTCTATCTGAACCAGCTAATAGGCAATAATTCTATCTCAAGAAGACAAATCCTTATCGATCACGCATAAGTTCTAGCCTATAGATTGCTTATTTAGAAACCAATCCATTATTGTGGTCCTGATGATATCCAAATTGGAATTTGATATGCCTTGAAAGAAATTCTTCATGTCTGAAACTTTCCAATTTTAATCACTAACTCAAAGCTCATCATGAGTTAAGTGCACTATCCTTTTCACCTATTTGCCTAAAAATGAAACCAAACCAAACAAGTTATTCTCATTCTTTACACCCATTATTGTTCGTCACTAAAATTTCTTGAGGTTCTAGGCATACATGTGCCAAGAGAACTTTTGGACTTGCCATTATTAACCTAACCCGTGCAAGGTTAATGAAGGGAAAATGATCAGGTTTGAGTCCGAGTAAATCATAACTTATTCCATATATATATATATATATATATAGAACTTATTCCATGGATGGGAATTTTCAAGAAGTGATATAGAAGAATTTTTCAGTAACCAAGAGCATTATCTGTTCTCTTCAGACCAAACCCTTGACTTAAGTTAGATACAAAAGGACATTGAGTCACAGCCTTTAATAGGTTATAAATTTTTATCTGGTTACCTTTTCCTACTCTGTCTCTGTCTCTCCATATCTGCAGAGCATTTAAGGCCTAATCCTTACATTTTAACCACAATTAGCTTACTTCTAGCGTTGTTGTGCCAAGGCGAAGCCAATTTTTGTTCTAGAGCATTATTGGCTAACATTTCCATATCCAAATCAAACCCTTAAAGACTGCCATAGAAACCAGAAATACAGATCCTAGTACTACACTTTGAGATCCTCACAAGATTTGCTCAGCGGAATGATGAGTTTTATTGATATTGTTATAGTCAATACAACATTGTCTAGCGGTGGAAATTTATCAAAATATGCAATCTTAGGATGCAACATAAAAAATATTCAAGGTACGGCAGATTTCTCGTATAGCTATCAGGTTTCCAGCGCTCAGGACACACAGCATCTCCCTCAATGAAGAAGAATATTTATCGAGTTAGACTAACTTCTGGAAACATTTTACTTCCAATTCATTTCATTTAACTCACTAGCCAAATAGATTAGGGAAAACTACAAAAAAATTTGGGTATAAATTCAACGAAAAAGATATAAAGCCGAGCTCTTTGTACCTGTAACTACCAGAGTAGCTGTAGTTGCCGATATCGATCGTTGCAGTGGAAATGACAACTATGGCAACTGATAATTAATGCCTCTATGTATAGAGCAGTCACATGAAGCCTACCGTATAACGATGGCAATAAAAGTAGCTGCATGCCAGAAAGAAGAGCATAATTACAAGCAATCCCGTCAAGGTAAGAAGAGCAATGGTCCCAACCTGTGAAAGATAGCAGAATATTCATGACAAGTTCTGAAGACAAATTAAGAAAGGCAGAAACAAAAAATTTAAGTACATTTACTTTCCTTTTTACAAGCTCACACAAGAAAATGTCTAGCAACTTTATATGATGCAACCTCTTCTTGTGGATTTGGCAACAAAAATTTTGGTAAGAAACCATCATTCACAATGCCAATGCCTCAATTAGCAATGCTGCCATTAAACAAGATCACTTGTTATATTCTTCCAAATTCTAATCAACAGTACTGATTTCTAGTTTCCAGATTGAACAATACCAAGCTCAAATAGCAGGATTCAGAACTGTGATCCTTGTTACTAATTACTCAACCAATTCAGGTCTGATTCTGTCAAGCAAGTTAAGTAATTATTCCATTCCCCGGCCGTAACTCTTTCTAGAGAACTCCGATTTCCACCCCGATTGAAAAGTTTGAAACTATGCACATTTATATAAGACTTGCCCGGTGCTTTGCAAGGAATCAACAGTGTTTTTTTTTTTTTTTTTTTGACCATTGAATTTGGCCCCGAAATCTAATTATTTATGCAAGACTGATCAATTCAGTGTTACTTCTAGAAATCCCACTTCTCAGCTTCTCTCGATCATTCAATGATTTCATATAATTTAAATTTCATTTTTCGGAGCTAAGTTCTGATTTTGCTCAGAGAATTCCTGTGCCAGGAAAAAGAGGATAGTAGCAAGCTATTAACCTGCTTGCACCTGCGCGGCCCCGAGAAGCAACCATATCGATCTAGTACATGTCATGCCCTTGCAGAACCGGCTGCTCAGGCAAAATCAAGATAATAACTAAAAAGCATTTGCAAAGAAATCGAAGAATAACTACACACCATGAATCAATCAATGTAAGGATAAAGAATATCAGAATCTTTAACTAATTAAAACCCTACTTTCTGTTAGGTAAAAACTGGGTGTTTAGGATCTTTCTTACAGCTTCTCAGCCACCTTGGAGCGTTAATTAACTAGACAGTCTACACAAATGACCCCACTGAAGCTTTTTTGAAGTAGTATCAGCAATAAGAATCCTTTAATTCATCTCCAACTTTGTATATCATTGATAGATTTCACTGTTAACGCAAACTTATATATTCTACTTTCCACCATCTACTGCCAAACCGATTCATGAAATCATTAGAAATGAACAAATGGGAAATAGCTAGGAGGCATTAAATATTAGGAAACAAATCAAGCCAAAGGATATAGTAGAAAGACAAGCATAATTACACAACAAAAAAATTTTATATGGCTTTGGAATGGAGAACAACTAGGTTATAAGAAAAAAGCCCGATGGACCTATACATCTAACCCAATATTTTGTAGACTTTTTGAGGGCTCCACCCCTAAGCCTTCCGCAAGAAGCGCTAACCCCTTAATCCTCACTCGCTAACCGGCTAGCAAGACTGTCGTGCTAGATCTATATAACGCTTTATACTACAAACTTTCATTTACATTAGTTTTCACAACTTAACAATCTATCATTCGAAGACCGATCTCCAAAATAGCACCAATTCTTTTGTAACTATCCATTTTTCTCATCCAAATTCAAGTCCTCCTAGTGCGAGTGCCTTCTCATCACTAATAATGAATGCCAATTGAAGCAATGCAAAACCTCGGTTTATCAATAGTAACTACTTTGGTTAACATATCAATTGGATTCTCCAATCCTAGAATCTTGTTCAAACATATTATCCTATCATCCAACAACTCTCTATATAATAATACTTCAATTGAATATTTTTGGTTCTTGCATAAAAGATAAGATTCTTGATAAGATGAATTGCATTCGATTATCACTAAAAAGTTCACTATCATCTTGTGCCTTACCCACTTTCTTTAGGAAATTCTTAAACCAAACCCTTTCTTTACCGAACTTCTAAAATAACCATATACTTAGCTTCAATGGTGGAAAAAGCAACACATTCCGAAGTTGAGATACTAACTTACAGCGAGTACCACATAAAGCGAAAATGTAATTTATTACACTCTTTATATTGTCTAGATCACTACCTAAATCCGCATCAACAAATCTTTGTAGAATAGTATTATTCTTCTTAAAATAAAGGGTCATACTTGACTCGAAGTACCTTTCATATAATGAAAAATTCACTTTACTCCTTCCTCAATGCTTTTTTCTCTAATTTGCCATGTACCTACCGATAACTCTCATTGCATCGGCTATATCAAATCTTGTGCAAACCATAGCATACATTAAGCTTCAAAATATCGATGCATAAAAGAACATAGACATTTCTTTTTTCTTTTCAGCTAATTTTGGTGATTGCTCTTTTGAAAACTTGAGGTGACTTCCCAAAAGAGTGCTTCTAATCTTTCCATCCTAAAGGTTGAATCGCTCAGCACTTTCTAAATGTACTTTTCTTGAGATAAAGTTAATGTACTTTTGACCTACCACTATTGATTCTCATCCTAAATATATGTTTTACGAGTCCCAAGTCCTTCAATTCAAATTGTTCTATAACTATTCTTCGGCTTATTGATCTCTTTCAAGTTAGATCCCGTAATAAGTATATCATCAACATACAAAAGCAAAATAAGATAACATTTATCAAACTTCTTGATATAATAGCAGTGATACATCTCATATCTCTCAAAACCATTATCATATATGAACCCATCAAACTTCTTATACTATTTCTCGAGAGCTTGTTTCAAACCATATAGACTTTTCTATAATTTACATATAAGTTTTTCCTTTGTTGGAACTTCAAAGTGTTCTAGTTGTACCATATAGATCTCTTCCTTAAGGTCACCATATAGGAAATAGTTTTAACACCTAACTACTCTAGATGTAAATTTTTTATAGTAACAATACTCGGCATTAACTTAATAGCAATCATCTTGACTATAAAAGAGAAAATCTCAATGTAGTCAATTTCTTCTTTTTGTTTAAAGTTCTTTACAACTAGTCTTGCCTTGTATATTTTACTGCCATCATACTCTTCTTTGACCTTGTAGATCCACTTATTATGTATAGCCTTTTTTTCCTTCTAGCAATAAAGTTAAAGTCTATGTCCGATTCTTCTCAAGAGACATCATCTCTTCTTCCATGGCTAACTCGCACTTGATAGAATCTTTCACTTGCATTGCTTTATTATAGAATGTTGGTTCTCTAGCATCGGTAAAAAGCAAATAGTTTAAGGAAGGTGAATACCTTTGAGTGAGTTTTGACGTTCTATCAAATCTTCTTAGGCGAGGAGTAAGAGTTACTAGGTTTAGTTCGACTTCGACTCTTCCATCTCTATCATCCGAATTGTGAATCCTAGACATATCTTCCTCTAAAATCTCCTTCAAATTAGCTTTCTCACTTGTTTATGATCGGTTCTTACACTATTAAAATATGTCCCAAACCTATCCTTATACAATGTACTTTAATCAAAGGTCACATCCCTATGCCTTATGATCTTTCTATTTCGACCATCCCAAAACTCGATAACTAAAATTAATCAAAACTATAACCAATAAAGTAATACTTTCTAGCTTTATGATCAAGCTTATCTCTATCATTATGTCTTACATATACATCCGAAACACAACCAAAGGTTTTCAAGTGTGAGAATTTTACCTCCTTTCCTAATTTTACCTCCTTTCCTAACCATCCTTCCTCAAGTAATTTAAAGCCCAATAGAACTAAAGGTCCTCTATTTATGAGATAAGCTACTATATTCACTACATCAACCTCGAATGCTTTGGGTAAACCGAATGCAACCTCATGCTTCTTGCTCGCTCATTTAAAGTTTTATTCATCCTTTCAGCAACACCATTTTTCTCTAATGTCATCGAACTCGTCTTGATCATTCGATCTCATTGTCTAAATATTAATCTTTAAATTCTATATTAATATGCTCTTCTCCATTGTCCGACTTCAAAGTTTTGATCTTTTGACCGATCGATTTTCAACTTCGACCTCTCACCTTTGGAATACGATAAACATATCAAATTTATTTTTAAAAAAACAAACCCATCCTTTTCAAGGGGAGTTGTCAATGAAAGTGACATAATAACATGAGCCTCTAAGAGAAGTCACGAGGGCTAGTCCCCTTATATATGTATGCATCAATTTCAACTTCTCTTCATTTGAAGATTTGCTAAACTTTAGGAAATGAACTCTCTTCTACTTTTCATATATATAGGCCTCACATAAACCTAATATCAACATACTTTAATTTTGGTAATTTTTTCATTAATGCTAGTCGCTTCAAATCCTTTTCACTAATGTGCCCAATAATTCGATGCCATCGTATCGAATCACCATTATCAACAAAACTAGCCACTACTATCGTATCCCTTCTTACAATAGTTGTATACAAAGTTCCAACCTTACTCGCCATATGCTATGACCATATTCTCTTTCGTTATCTTTCATAATCCACTCCAAAATACTATTATGTAACCAATATCATCAAGTTTACTCAAAGAAATCAGATTCTTCCTAATACCTAAAATATATCTAACATTCCGTGTCATGATCCCAAAAGTGGGCCATGATCGACACAAGAATCGAGGAAATCATAAGGTCCACCTCAACTCAAGAAAGCCTCGGATACTACTCTAAAATTCTCAAATCATTGTCATATCAAATATTAGTTTATTTCATAATATTCTTAACTAATATTCACCATATTATATTTTTAACACAAATAATAATGTAAGGCTATCCTTGCATTTCTCAATCAATATTTATAATTCATTCATAATATAATACCGACAGCCTATAATCGTAGATCTTCTAAGAATATATTTAAAAAAATATAGGTTTAAGGAATTACAATTAAATAAGTTGTACGATCAAAGTGTCGACTTCAAAATAAGCAATCAAAGGAAGCAATAGGCAATCCCTCAATATCTTGTAAAATTGAAATAATGAGGGGTGACCAATCAACGACTCAGCAAGTAGACACAATATAAGATACTAAAGGAGGAAAACAAACTAAGGACAAAACTTATAATTTCATCTCAAAGTGCAATGCTAGTTCTTGAAAACAATGCACGTCATAAGATCAAATCATATATGATAAATTTAAATGATTCAAAATCATTTCTTATTAAATCGTTGAAACTTTATACATACATATATCGTAATCATACGAAATCACATATAGAGATTTTTATATATCCATTGGGTAAATAACGTATCATTGGATACAAACACACAAAAGTCATGCCTTCCGTGACCAAGTTTTCGTATGTTGATCGACATATGAGCTAGCACTCTACATCTCCTCGCTAGCTGGAGTCTCATATCATTGAGTTCAAAGGCTATGCCTCCCGTTGCTAGGTTTTTAAAGATCTCGAAAATATTTTCAAAAACCATATAACTTATATTTATTTCAAATCAGCATTTTAAACAAAATACATGCTTGAAATTTACTTGATATATCAAATAAGCATTCACGAGAAAATATACGAATAATCAAAATACACTTTAAAATGCATTCGTATTCAAATCCAAAATCACATACCAAATCCAATAACACATTTTCTCAAACACGTATTCAAATTTCTTTCCAATTCATATCAAATCATTTTGATATGAAATTATTTCAAAATTTATATAGTCCTTCCCACCTAAGCTATAATAGATAGCTTTTAAATCATACTCTAAAACAATGATGCATGTCAAGATTATCAAGAAATTTAAAAACATAATAGGTTATATAATATTCACTCACAATATAATTCAAAGAATTGAACAAATTGAATGAATCAATATTGTTGTACGAGATTTGCTCGATCCGAAGAATCTAAAACATAAAATGGTGAACAAACCATCAATATGCTAATTTAACAAAGAATTAGCTAACAAATTGAAGAGAGAATTAGGAGGAAATTTTTAAAGAAAGTGGCATGAGAGAAGTGGAGAAAAAAGAAAGAAATTTCTATAAAGGAGGTAACTATCGCCTTTTTTATACCAGACTCCATTTTTTTGTTATTACATTCTTCCCCTTAATAAAATTCCTCTTTGAATTTAATCCTAAACACACCTTAGTAACTCGAATAAGGGAGGATACTTCCTTTTTATTTCCTTCTTAGCCTTTCAAGTGGCTTATTTAGTTGCATGGTTCCTCCGAATAACCTTAAGCGATACAATCTTCGTATTCTATAATTTCTTAATATGACGATCTGCTATTGCCATCGTTACTCCTCATATGATAAATCGATTTAACTCTACCAATTGTGGCTCTAGAATATGAGATGGATCGAGTACATATTTTCTTAGCATGAAAATATGAAACACTAGATGTACACTTGAAAATTATGACGACGACGTCAACTCATAAGTCACGACTCTAATTAGACCAATAATTTTAAAGTATATACCCAATTGGATCTTGCCACACACTTGACAAATTGAGTATCTTATTTCAAAACCACGATGGACCGAGTGAGATGACCCTTGATAGATACTCATTTGTGATTCATCATGACTACTCTGTCTAGAATATCTTCTCTAGGGGCTAGAATAGCTCTGCATACTCATATCCCAACTAGATCCACTTGCTATAGCTTTTTTGCCCACCGGATGATGAGGCATCATTCTTACCCTTCTTCTTTTGCTCTTTAGTTGCTTTACTCTTCATTCTCCTCATCTCGAGCTTACAAACACAATCAATTGCATCGAATAATTCGAAACCTTTGAGGAAACGCATATACTTCGAGTTTATATTACTTTTATTATTTAAATTTCATTCCTAGAATTTATCATTTTTTATGAAAATTCTCATCCAATTAATATTTTTACATAAAATATTATTTATCGATAAATATAATTTACTTTTTTTCTATGTTTGAATTTTAGAATAAAATTTTAAAACATGATTGTTTTTTCTTTTTTTTAAAAAAATAAATTGATATAATATGTATCATGAGTTCTTTGAATTTTTAAATAATAATTGCATATATATAAATAACAAAAAGTAACATTTATGCTTAAATAACAATCTTCTCACCAACATTAAATAAGAATAAAATTTTATTTTTTCATTAGTTAATTTTTATGCAAGTCTATAAATTAATTGTAACTTTATTTTTTGGATACATTCTTATAAGTATATATATTTATAAAGTATTTTTTAAAAAATTCTTTATTAATATTTTAGGTTTAAATTATTATAAATTTTTATTTAAGAATCCGAGAATAAAGAAGAATAAATCATATTTTTTAAGCATAAATTTTATGAAAAACACACAAAAATATCAATAAAAAAATAAAAAAATTAATGAAAAAATTATAAAATTTTGAAGTAATTTTGTTCTATCTACCTACAACGTTGCGCGGATAATTTCAAAAATTAATCTTTTTATCAACATTAAAGAAGAAATTTTTTTTATTTGTTAAATTTTATAAAAGTCTATTCATTAATTATAATTTTATATTTTGAAATACAATTTTATGAAAAATATATTTTTAAATATTTTTTAATTCTTGATTAATATTTTAGTTAAAATTATTATAATTTTTTATTTTAAAATCAATCCATAAAGAAGAATGATTTATGTTTTTTTAAGAAAAAAATTGTTAAAAACATTAGAAAAAATTAATTAAATAGATAAAATTTAAATGATTTTATTCTATTGGATCCGTAGCGTAGCGTGGACAACTCGACTAGTTAAATACTAAATAAAATATATTGTTGCAATTGACGATATGAAAATATAATTAAACATTATTTTTTATATGATTTCATCATTGCTTTTATCAATATTACGACGGCCAGCAGTGGACAACAAAATAGTTTATACTGAAGTTGCAACTCGTAAGGATAGCAAAGAGCACTCATGAGTTCTTAATGTTGTAAAGAGGAGAAAGTACTTGGGTTCGCAATTCCGAACCACTAATCTAAAATATTAAAATTTTCTTTCTTCTTCTGTTGTTGAACCACCAAAACTGAAGCTAGATTAGAAATATATTCAGATGCAAGCAAGTCCCCCAGCGGCCCAAGCTCTGGAAAGTCAATCCATTCTTCAGATAGGCCTGATAAAGCTTTAGGCACAGTTTCTCGTTGACGCCCTACCATGATAAGGTCATGATCCCCAGCCATGGATTGAACTATGGAAGATGTATCAGAACCATCTCTCACTGTCTCCTCTATGTAATGGATATTCTTATTCCCTGACATCTCTGCCTTCACCCTTCTTAAAATGTCTTTATTGAGCATATCCTCCCAATCATTGACATCATCTGTAAGTGACACGAAATGGATGATTGTTAGATCGACTCTGGGGCCTCTTGCCATCCTTAAGGCATAAGCTAGTGCCTCCCGGTCATCCGAGCCTCCGACAAACAGTGCGGCCACACGATGCGTTGTCGACGAGGCAAAAGTAGAAGGCAAGCCCTGGGTTCGTTTACGATCAATAAGGATTCCTACAGAGCAAGGGGCGTTTTCCAATATGCTGATGTTCAACTTCCTCATATCACTGTTGTCTGAAACCACTTTGCCTTTGCTATTCCATTTCTTATGAAAAGGAATTATTATTAGGGAACAATCCTTGTCAAAAGACAGCCAACAAATGTCTTCGTGCATCTGTTTAAATGGCGATATCGCAGTGAACACATGCATGTGGACTAACTTGTGTTGTGTCTTGAAGTAGTTGAAGATGTCAATGATTGGTTGCGAGCGGGATCCCATAGAAGATGAGATTTTTTGTCCTAATTGGTGGTCGATTACAAGAGGGACAAAGCTGCTAATAAGTTCCTCCAGGCAGAGCCCATAAATGGACAAGGGAGTATGCTTGGTAGGACTGGAATATTCTAGGAGTGTGATTGCTGCCATGGCATCTTCCTCTCTATGCGCACATACCAGCATTTGGAGCTCTGCATCATCTGAAGCATGCTCGATATTTTTGCTCTTGTAGCTCACGTAATGCTCTGCAGGATGGTAGAGATTTTTTACAAGGAGTGGCTGAAAGGCTTGTAACAGCAGTAGTAAGAAAACTCCGCTCGTACTTTGAACGTCCTTAAGGAGAAAGAAAGAGAGAAAGAAAGTAGAATGAGAAAAAATCAATGCCCAAATAATACTTAATAGTTTTAAATAACTCCCGTTACATCATATAACGGCCGTTATATAACAATTTCGAAACATTCCGTTATCGTTATTTTAATATTATAATAAGTTGCGATCCGCGATGATAACCGCGATCGTTTTTTCACTCGTTCATTATTTAAAACTACTGACAAACTAAGCAGCGAGGAAGGAATATTTAATCTATACCTTAAGTGAATAGTAGCTGATAAAATTTCCCACTTCGAAAACACCTTTGGCATTCAAGATGACTGTAAGAGCAACAGCATGTCTTAGAGGTATCTTGCAGCAGAGCACCCCTATAAAAATCACAGCCACCTTAATTCCGAATCCAATCAATGAGATTTTGAAGATGGCCAGGCTGCTGAATTCTGAGATAAATTGGCGTAAATCAATTTTGGAGGCACAAAACATTGTCATGAGAGGGAGAAGAAATCCTCTGACGGCTGTTGTAAACCTTTCTGTCAGGACTTCAGCTAGTGGAGACCTTGCAGGCACTATGAAGCCAAATATTAAAGGGCCAAACAAGTAGTTTAGCCCTACAGTATCACCAGTTGATGATAAAAGAAGCACAAAGGCCATAGTAATGGTGGCATAAATTTCCTTCAAAGGCTGACCTTCCGGTGTTCTCCTGATGAATGTGAAAACCATCTTCTTCAGGATGATTCCAATGAACATAAAATATGCTAAGGCTGTAATACAGGCTTGAATTCCGGCACGAATCGATATACCTAACACAACATTTTTAAGACCTTTCAGAATCCCAATTGCTAGGTTCAGCACTGTATTGTGCATCGATGATGCGAGAGCAAGGCGTCCGAGCTGTGAATTTATAATCTTAAGCTCCATTAAAAGGTAACTTACTCCAACAAATTCAGTGTGGATCATTGCACCAAAATACAACAACCCTTGAGTTATCATTCCATTCCTGGTTGACTCAATTAAGCTATTATCTTTGGGAAAGTGGAACTCAATATTCAGCTCCATTATGAAAACGGTAACATATATAAGCAATCCGATGGCAAAAGCTTTTCTTGATCCTGTTTTCCATATCAAGGTTGTGTCCATGTGTACCCCAGCAAAGAACACAAAGAAACTGTAACCTATCTTTGATAATGAAGCCATGACCTGATTAGATGCTCTAGGGAACAAGAAATTATAGTCACTGCCAAAGTAATTTCCCATCACAGTCGGCCCCAATACTATACCTGCCTAGAAGACATTAAAACAGAAGGGGGTAAAAAAAACCGTTTTTCATTAATTAATCTAGCAAAAAAAAAGGATGGAAAACAGAAATATAATGGTAAACCATGCATGCATACCAGGATATCTGAGGTGAAACGTAAAAAATGGAATCTTTTGAGCAAGAAGTGAAATGAATTGGCGACGAGGAACATCAGAAGTAATTGAACATGGAAACGAACCAATGAATGTTGTAGAATACTTTCTCCATGTTTTACATTGAGCATTCCATCAGAGAAAACTGTAACATAGTCGAAACATTTTCCACTTACATTCACGATGCCATTTGTGGTGTCCATAGATGAACCCTAATTCTTAGTTTCTTGCTGCTGTTTATCTCTCTAGATACCAACTGATTTGACCAAAGAAAAAGAAAGACAAGAAAAGAAAAAAAGGAGAGATCGAATGAACATGCATAATGATCCAATAATAGTTTTGTCAGCCATTATTTGTTGGCAGCTACAATTTTGGTCTTCTTGGGAGAATCCAGCTCATAATTACCCCATTTAAAGATTCAATGAGAAATCATCCTCATTCAGCAATTTCATGCATCTCTTATATCTGGTTTTAGTTGACCAAAAGTCTAATGCATAATTAAGAGATGTGGTCAACCAGTAACGGGTTAATTTGGTTTTGTTAACTAATCATAATTGTCTCTTAGTAGCACTATATTTGGATTGTTTTGATGTAAGAGACAACTCAGTGATAGTTCAAAACGTGATAGATTCAGTTTCAATTAATTTGAACTTAGCTAAGGATTTTAAGTTGCCAATGGCAGGGAAAAATCCCTAAGATAAAATCAGGGGTTACGTACGAAGGAAATGCATGACTGAACGATCAACATAACTATAAGGTCCGAAGGCCGGATTGCGATATTTGGCTATGGCTGACTTATACTTAGTGAGAATATATATATATATATATATTCAACTCATATATCTAAGGTTATTAACAGAATTAATTTACTAAAATTTAAATATGTGATATTTTGTTGTAAAAGTTACTACCACTAGATTACAAGCTCTTTAGTATTAGTGAGAACTAGTTTCTTTGCCCGCGCTACGTCTGCGAGTTGGATAAAATATATAAAATCGTTTAGAAGTAATCTAAATTTATTTTTCCAAAGAAAAAATAATCATGTTCTAAAAAATTATTTCAAAATCCATACATATAGAAAAATAACTCAAAAATGTCAGTAAATATAAATAATAATTTTAAAAAAAAATTGAATGAGAATTTTTAAAAAAAATGACAAATTAAAATAATAGATTTTAAATAATTAAAATAATTAACAAAAAAACTAAAACAAAATGGGACACCTAAGGTTGATGAAAATAGTAGATTTTAAATAATTAAAATAATTAACAAAAAAACTAAAACAAAATGGGACACCCAAGGTTGATGAACGAGTGATTGCGTTTTTTTATATAAAAAAAAATTAACAAAAAATACTATAAAAAAGCAAAGAAAAATTAATTTTTCAAAATTTTAACACCCAATTAAGTAAAAAAGAATATAAATTGTTGAAAAAAAATAAAGGAAAAAAAACCAAAGAAAAAAAGAAGAAAAGGCATGTGTAGTGCATGAGTTAAGGGATTAAAATATTTATTTTAAATTTTTAAGGACCAAAATGAAATAACTTGAAAATTAAAAAAAAAAAAACTAAACTACAATAATTAACAGTATTTATCACTATTTATTACTGTTCAAATGGTTGTTTTACTTTGGTTATATAGTAATAGTAATGTAAAGGTGCTAGTAGATTTTCAAAAGTATTTAAGCTAAATTGTAAAATACTTTCTGAATTTGAGAGAAAAATAAATACTTTTTGAATTAAAAAAAAAAACCCTAATTTGCTCCTTAAACAATATAATTTTTTGAATTTGTCACTGCTCTTACGATTCCACTGAGAAATTGACCGAAAAACTTTAAAATCCTCTGAATTCCTCCTTTTCTCTATTAGTAAACATATTTTGCCAAGTTGGTATGATTTGGTGGATTTTTATGAGTTTTTTCGTCAATTTCTCAACCGAACCCCAACCAAAAGGGCAAATTCTTTTTTTAAAAAAAATATTGTTTACAGGGTAAAATAAAAGATTTTTTAGTTCAAGAAATATTTATTTTCTCGCTCAAGTTCCAAGGTGTTCTTACCATTTAACCAAGTATTTAAAAGCTTTGACCTTAGATACTGTATATACCCATCTAAAGTAGATTTTTTTTACAGCTTTTACATACGGTCACTTTAACACTTTCTGGTACTGTTGGCATTTCCTCGAATGTCATAAGCTTTGAAGAACAGTTCGTCGAACACATCTTTCTCCCTGCCTGTAACATTCTTATTGATCTGGCTCTGGTAGAGTTAGGGCAATGTAGCTAGCTAAGAAGGCAGGAATCCTGCTATTTTTGTTTGGGTATGATTACTTGTAAAGCTGAGATTTGTTAATGGAACTAGCAATCATTTTGATTTTGGAAAATGATCAGGTTTGAGTCCCAATCTCAGTGCTTCAAGAACCCAAAAAACACAAAACAAAGAAAGAAACTTTCAGTCTCTAGGTCCACTTTATAAGAGATGTGATGATTCTCATTTGGTTCACTTCTCCTTAATTATAAATTAATCCTTCTATTTTTTAAAAATTAATTAATTAGTCCTTGTTTGGAAAAGTAAAAAATTAATTAGACCTCATTTGAAAAACAAATTAATTTAATATTACTTTATTTCATAAAAATGTCATCTTTTTCCACAATACTTCCATATTTTTTACTTTTTTATATACTTAATTTCTATTTTTTAAAACAAAATATCAAAATAAATTTAAAAAAAAAAAAAAAAAAGCAACAAGGACCAAGTCACAAGAAAATTAAAAATATAAAAATAAATAATTAGTTTTTAAAACAAAGAGAACTAATTAGTTCTTTTCTCAAAACTAAAGGTCCGATCTCTCCTATGGCTACCAGGTTTCCAGTGCTCAGATCATATAGCACCTCTAGAGAGCAATATTAGACAAGCTAGAAGGAGAAGCAGCAAAAGGATGGATAAACGATAACGCAAGCTACATTACTCATACAGCAAATATCTGATCATCATTACGAATCATATGTGCATTCAAACTACACTACAAGATCTGATCATATGCTTCCAAGCTATAAATAGACAAGCAACAACCGATGATCACAAACACTATTATAGTAGCAAGTCCTGAGAGATCATTAAAAGCAAAAAAATGTACAGATATCCAGGGCATAGGAGGATGTTTACATGAGTGAACATCTGATCATCGTGAAACTTCAAGCTTCCACCACGTTTAGTTCACTATAGCGATACTGAGGATTCCTGGAAGAAGAGTAGGCTGAAATTGCTGATCCAGTCATGGTTAATGAGTGTTTGGCAACTCCAACGCTTTTCCTTGTCACCAACCAGACAGTCCAGAAGAATCCAATCCAACCTGATTCAAACAAAGTTTTTAGTTCCCAATCAAAGAGGAGGAGATGTTTTTCACATATAATAGGCGATTTACATCAACCATGAACTCTCAAAACATTTGTAATTCAAACGCTTTACATTTAACTCACTAACCAAATGAAGGAAGAAAAACTGCACAAATTTTGGGTATAAATACATTGAAAAGATACGAAGTCAAGTTCTCCATACCTGTAACTACCAGAACAGCTATAGTTGCTGAAATTGTTGCAGTGGAGATGACAACTATGGCAACCGATAATGCCCCGATGTATATAACTGTCAGAAAGGCAAAGAACAGAGCCAAGAAACCTCCTGCAGCTGCCAAGGACATAAGAAGAGAGATAACAACCGCATTGAAAGTAGCAGCCAGAAAGAAAAGCATAAATACGAACACTCCTGTCAAGGAAAGAAGAGCAATAGTCCCAACCTGTAACAGTTTGAAAGATAACAGAATCATGAGAAGTTCTGAAGACAAAAAATGAACAGGCAGCAATACAAAATTTAAGTACATCTAATTTCCCCTTTATAGAAGCACACTCAAGAAAATGTGATGCACTGCAAACTTATTATAATGCAACTGCAATAATCCTGAGAAAAAAAACAAATGAAATGCATAAAGTTGGAACAGAATGAAAAATCACAACCATGTAAGCTTTTTCAAGTGGATTTTGCAATAAAAAATTTTGGCAAGAAATTATCACTCACAAAGCCAATGCCTCAATTAGCATTACTGCCCATAAACCAGTTCCCTTTTAATTTCTTCCAAAATTCCAATCAAAATTGATATGCAAACATGAGGGGTAAGCACAGAGGGGTGCAGAGCTTGACTTATACAATCAACATGCTTGACAAATCATATAACAACACATGGATAGTCTAAGTCTGATCCAGTCAGCACTTAAAACGATGTGGAGCACGATTATAGTTACCAGATTAAAGAACACCAAGCTCAAATAGATTCAGCAGGATTCAGAACTGTGATCCTTATTCAACAAAGGTCAGGGCTGATTTTGTCAAGCAAAGTTAAAAAATTATTCTCATTACCACTCCTTGTGGCACTAAGCTGACTAAGTCTCTGTCCAAAACCAATCAAGATCGGCTAAAAGATGACATCTTGCAGAATAAACATATAAATTTGTATGTAATCCATTCACCACATAACCAAACGATATCGATTACAAGCAAACAAGTAATGCTCCCTGCATCGTAAATCGATAATCCGGTACATAAAACAATAAAATTTAAATTTATTTATCAAATAGGAAAACAGTAATCTTTTATACTTGCAGAAATTTTATTTTTTTCTACAAATTAGTCATAAAATTTAGTTTCTCCAAAATTTGTAAAATAAATTCAAAAATTTCTTGTTTCGCACACCAAACAAACATAGTGGGACGGAGGGAGTATTATTCATTAATCATATCTGCATCTACAGTGTTACTACCTCAATCCGCCCCCAACAAAAAAAAAAATAATCAAAATTATTCAACCAAAAAAAAATCTCTAAAATGATTGAAAACATTGAACTTTTTCCAACTTGAACTCTCAACGACGGAACGAACGTGACTGGTGGATCCCAGACAACTTCATTAGCTAAGCTAATATTATTCAGAAAACTCACTCGGAATAAATAGTAAATTCTACTCACAAAATATTAGTTCTCGTAATTCCACTCAAAATTCAGTAACGTACAAGCAAGTAAAAGCAAAAGGTACAGCCAATCAAAGCAAAGAAAAAGAAGCTACACTTACGGAGATAACAAGAAGAGCTCTTAAAGGACTGCCTCGACGAGTCCATTGAAGAATCTTCTTTCCACTGTTTGTACAACCTTCTTTAAGCAACGGCAAGTTCTCTGATAGCGCAATCTTGATCCGCTGCAGCAGTGAAGTTGATGCAGCACTGCTACCTGGATCAGGATACAAGATCGTAAAAATCAAACGGTGGATAATAGTGTACAGATCAATTTCTTGATCGTAACGGTCCCGTTTCTTCTTCCTCGTTTCGCCTACTCCGTTGATCACCTCCGGTTCTTCTTCCACCATTTCTGCAGTTGGAAAATTTCTATTTTCCGGTGAGGTAATGAATTGATAGAAATAGAGAGAGCGAGAGTGTGTGAGTAAAGGAAGCCGGTTGGTTGATTGGGGTTGCACTGATTGAAATTAATTGTTTGTTTTCTAGCAAAATATTTAAATAAGTCCCCCAATCACATTTGATTCAAACTTTAGTCCCTAAATGATTTTTTTAACTTACATTGTTTGTTCTCGTTTCATAGGCAGACCGGATTTAACAAAATATGACAATTTCAACTGTGTATTTAGTAAATACGTTGTATATAAGATAGGATAAATATATTCTTTAACATATATAGATTTTTACTTTGGTTTTTGATATTCCATAGATACATCGTACATAAATTAAGATAAATATAATCTTAACGTATTTATATTTTTCTTTCATTTTATCTTATGAAATAATTTTGTGGTATTTAACTTAGTCTTGATTTGTCTAATCTATTCTTCAAGCTGATGTGATTTAAAATATTTTATTTAAAAAATTAGTTATTTGATAGCGATTTCTAACTAGTTAATAATCGTAGGTATCAAATTGACATATAAATAATGTACGTCTACTATGGTGTTCCTCGTCGTTATACTTAATTCATGTGAAATTATCAAATAGACTAAAATATACGTTGAATTTACTCAAATTGATGAATTATTTGAATTTTATTCTAAATTAATTAAATATTTGCAGCATAACGTGTCTAACATAATTTTATAAAGAATAATATTATTGTAAAAATATATATATTGTAAAAATGGATGGAAAACTTCGGTTTTCATATGGTTGTTATAATTTTGAACAAGAGTGCGATTAAAAACAATGAAAGATTGAAAATTCCAAAATCCTTATTAGTGGCTCAATTGAGACACAAATTTCAATAAGGACTTAAATGAAAATAAATATATACTTAGAAACCTTAGCAAAGGTTTGTACCTTTTGTGATGTATCAAGTCGGGAATTTTTTAATGAGATGCACACGTGGGGTACCTTAAGAGTATCCGACTTCTTGTTGGGACCCTTTTTTTCAATTTTGCCGACTGTGGGCCCCGCTCTTTTCTGATATTCTTGTATTTAATATCTTTATTTTATCTTTAACGGTTACCTCCTGTTTGTTGATCTAGCTGACAGCAAAGCTTAAGAAGAAAGTTAAACTTCGTACGAAAATTGATGATCTTAGGATCTTTAAATATATTTTTTTCTTAATAAATATGGAAACCAGTCGTAGATTGCATTAATCTTGAAATATCCGTTTTGAACTAGTTTCTTGCATAGCATTAAGTGATTGATTTTGCTGTAACCTAGTGATAGGTTGGATTTGGACTTCGAATCGTAGAATATACCTGGAATTGGTCCTGTATAAAGAAGATAGAGATTGATTTGAAGTCGAATCTGATCAAATCTTTCAAGGAGCAAGTCGGTATTTTTAATAATGATAAAATAATATTATTATTTAAAATCGGATCATATCTTCATATTTTTATTTTTATTTTCTTTTTTATCTTTATTTGTCACTCAGAATATTAATAACTAGATAACTCTATTACGATGTGGCTGAATAACTGTTATATGCATAGGATCAATAATTTGTTTGATGCAATATAGATAGAAGTTTTATTTTTGGTTATTAATGTAAATCAAATCTATCTATTAAGCAAAATTATTTGATTTATATTTATTTATTAACAAAATAATTAATAATATTAATAGAAAAAAGGTTGTATCTCGATACATGAAAGGGTTTTTCAAAATATTATTTTAATTTTTTTATTTGAAAAATATTAATTTTCGAACATGAAAAAGAATAAATAATAAATAACTTGTGTTATTTTTGCGGATACATAGTTAATTTTTAATAAAACTAATGATCCAAATATATATATATATATATAGTAAATAGCATAAATTAAACAGAATATATCTTTAAAAAAAAACTCATTTAAGTTGCATGGAATATATTGTAGTCAATAAATTGAAATAAAAGCTACTACATAGTTGGTTTCGATAAATTTTGATCATATATGTGTGTGTGTGTGTGTGTGTGGATTTTGAAATAAAAATTTAGAACGCAAACACGCTACTCTCATTTAAAATTTATAAAACAAATTCATCGTATAAATTATAATAATACATTAAAAAATATAAAATAATCACGTTCTAAATTTTTACTTCAAAATCCACACACACACACACACACACACACACACACATATATATATATATAATTTTATCAAAAAATTAAAAAAAAATTAATTTATGAGAATTTTGATAAGAAACGGTAAATTAAAAAAAACATATCTAATATATGTTCTACCTAAAATTATAAAACATATCATATATATTTCATCATCGTAAAATTATACATAAATTTTAAAAAAAATGATATGTCTTATATAATTTTCAAACCTAATTACATGATAAAAAAATATAAAAATAAATTGTTGGAAAGGGAAAAAAGAAGAAGAAGAAGAAGAAGCCAGGCCCGTGCACTTGGGTCTGCTTGTGAAGGCTCGCGCTAGGCCAAGTCAGCCCTCCTAGGCCTGCTTGGTCAGGCCAGTGCACGAGGCCACCCCCTCACTCCTGGGCCTGCTTCTACAGGCTGTCCTCAAGGCTCGCCCTGCATGGGCTTGATTCTCCAGCCTTGAGGTCCTAACCAACCCAAGGAAAAAAAAAAAAACAAAAAAGGAGCGAAATAAAAAGTTTGCAAACATCAGGGACCAAAACATAAAAGGCTGTACAATTTGAATATAACTGTCCGCGAAAGAAGGGGGGGGGGGGAGGGGAGCAAATAGTGATAACCGCACTGGGAGTCCGATTGAATTAAATTATTTTAAAATTTTTTAATTAAATTTTTTATAAATTTTCTGTTTTAAAAAATATAAATCATTATTCTTTATTGAATAATTTTAAAACAAAAAACTATAATAATTTTAACTAAAATATTAATTAAGAATTAAAAAAAACTTTAAAAATATAATTTTCATGATATGGTGTTTCAAAAAATAAAGTTATAATTAATGAAAAACTTTTTACAAAAATTAACAAATGAAAAAAAATATTATTTAATGCTGATAAGAAGATTAGTTTTTGAAATAATACGCGCAATCATACGGGTAGATAGAAAAAAATCATTTCAAAATTTTAAAATTTTTTCATTAATTTTTTATTTCATTATAACTATTTTTTATGTGTTTTTCATAAAATTTGTACTTAAGAAATATGATTTATTATTCTTTATTCAGGGATTCTTAAATAAAAAAATTATAATAATTTAAACCTAAAATATTAATTAAGAATTCAAAAATAAATACTTTAAAATTATATTTTAATAATAATGTATCCAAAAAATAAAGTTACAATTAATGTATAGACTTGCATAAAAATTAACCAATCAAATAATAAATTTTTTTTCTTATTTAATGTTGGTGAGAATATTTTTTTTCCAAGTATATGCATTTGATCTATATATACTTATTTACAAAATAATCAATAAAATTAGCATAAAAAACTATATTTGAATAATTGGTTGGTTCTTTTAAAAAATTATTTTAATTATTTTATTTCGAATAAATTGGTTCTATGATATTAAAAAAAATATTTATAGTAAATAATTTGTATTATATTGGAAGATGTATAGTTAATTTTTAATATAAAAATAAGAATAAAAATTAACTTAATGTAAATTTTTATAATAAATTGAAAAGATCAATTTTAAACACTAGGAATAGTATATATTTATTCTAAAATCTTAAAATATTTCATATATTATATAATTCTCAGTTTATGTGAAAAAAATAATTATGTTGGAAGATGTATAGTTCATTTTTAATATAAAAATAAGAATAAAAGTTAACTTGATGTGAATTTTTATAATAAATTGAAAAGATCAATTTTAAGTAATAAGAATAGTATATATTTATTCTAAAATCTAAAAACATATCGTATATATTATATAATTATCAGTTTATGTGAAAAATATAACGATTGATATTTATTTACAAAACAATCAATAAAATTAGCATAAAAAACTATATTTGAACAATTTGTTGGTTCCTTTAAAAATTTATTTTAATTATTTTATTTCAAATAAATTGCTTCTATAATGTTAAAAAAATATTCATAGTAAATAATTTGTATTATGTTAGAAGATGTATAGTTAATTTTTAATATAAAAATAAGAATAAAAATTAACTTAATATGAATTTTTATAATAAATTGAAAAGATCAATTTTAAAAAATAAGAATGGTATATATTTATTCTAAATCTTAAAACATATCGTATATATTATATAATCATCGGTTTATGTGAAAAAAAATTAATTATGTTGGAAGATATGTAATTAATTTTTAATATAAAAATAAGAATAAAAATCAACTTGATGTGAATTTTTATAATAAATTAAAAAGATCAATTTTAAACAATAAGAATAGTATATATTTATTCTAAAATCTAAAAATATATCGTATATATTATATAATCGTCAGTTTATGTGAAAAAATAACGATTAATTTTTTAAAATTTTAACACTCGGTTAAATAAATAAATAAAAAAAGAGAGAGAGAAATTGATGGAAAAAATCAAAGGAAAAAACCAAAAAAAAAAAAAACCATGTATAGTGCATCACCAAGGGGTTAAAATTTTTATTTTAAAATTCTAGAGACCAAAATGAAATAATTTAGAAATTACAGAAAAAAAACTGGTGAATAGTGATTTGTGAGGGGATTAGCGAGTGTCTAAAATCTAAAAACATATCGTATATATTATATAATTGTCAGTTTATGTGAAAAAAATAATTATTGATTTTTCTAAATTTTAACACCCAATTAAAAAAAACATAAATTAAAAAAAAAAAAACCATGAGTAGTGCATCAACGAATGATTAAAATTTTTATTTTAAAATTTTAGGAACTAAAATGAAACAATTTCAAAAAAAAAAAAACATTAAGAATAGTGATTTGTGAAGGGATTGACAATGAAACTCACGGTTCATACCTTCACGTCTTTTAGATATATAATAATATATCAGTAGTAAATAAATAGTGAAAAGTTCATTTCTTTTATTTTTTTATTTTGTAATTGTTGTTGTATTATGTTTTGGTATATCAATCGTCTCTCCCCTCTCTGTTTTTTTTTTTTTAGTCAATGTTTCCGTGGTAGATTCTCACGAGAGGAGTCAGAAGGACAATCTTGATCGGGTAGAAATTGACCTTTGGGACATTACTTGTTTGTTTTCATTCTTTAAAAAACAAACAAAAAAAAAAAAAAAAGTGTTTAACATGCACCATCGTTACGTTCCATTAGAAAGATCAAAGGTTGCTTTGTAGAAGTCTATATAATTTTTGGCCTTCACTTCATTTTTACTTCATGTCATTTTCTCTCTGTCCTTCCTCCATTACTGCTTCTCTTTTGGGTTCGTTTTGGTTGTGTTTTAGTCTTCATCATCTTTCGACTCTTTTTTTCCAAACAAGTATGTCTATTTTCTCCTTTCTCCTTTGCTTGTTTTTGGTTCATGAGTGATTTTGAGGAGAATTTTATAAATCTAGAGAAGTTAAACTTGGCTTTGTTAGAGTATCTCTAATGGTATTTTTTACTTTTAGCTAGTATTTTTTAATGTAATTAAAGAGCACCATTAATTATATAGATTGAAGATCAATATCCTCTCCAATACTATTATCTACTTTAACTCTTTATTTTGATAAAAATCCACAAAACATTTAATTCTGAATTTTTTTTTATTTCTGTTAATCTCCCTCCATCCGATTGGTGAAGAGGTTGAGTGGCATAAAAAATAATAATTTTCATTAATCAAATATAAGATAAAGAGTCATTTGAACTCTTTAGTATTGAAGAGCCAAAGATACTTTGTATTTTACTTTTAAAGATAAAGATTGTGATAAAGACAACATTAAAGATAGAATTTAAGCCAAACTTCTTTATTATAAAAAAAATCTTAATATAAAAAGAATATTGAAGATGCTCTTAAATATGAATATTTAACCTTTCTCTCGGATACGCCAATCTCCTCTTCTAGGTCTATGTTAACACTTGATTCCTCGAGCCATGTCTCTATTTTTTATTCTAGTTCGTTAGACGAACAAGATGATGATTCAGGAGAGTATGGTGATAATCTTCCTTTGTTCCTACCTTTTGGTGGTAGAAGGTGTTTCTGGTCTCCTGATATTTACTAGCTCGGTAGGGTTTAGGGTTTCACACTCCCTCTAAAATACTTGATTACGTTAAAGGTCATCACTTTTTTATACGACCTTTTGATGGTGTATGGTCTTTTCTTGTTGTGGGATGCTCTTTTTTCGACAAATACTTATAACAATTTTCATATCAATCAAAATTAAATCTCTTTTAAGTCTCCCATTTGGACAATATTAAAGACCATTAAATCACAAAAAAGTTTAAATCTAAAAAGGCAAAAACTATTAAATTACAAAAAAGTTTAAACCCAAAACATAAAAATAAAAAGAAGTATTCCCTTGAACCAGGGGGTCTTGATTTTTGCACACTTTTAAGAAAGAAATAAATAAACTTAATAAGATCCAATCTTTTCATTTTCACATTCTTGTATTGATTTTTACCGATTATAGAAAAAGATTGCCACAAAATCTACATAAAAATTGAAACCCCGTGCCACTTTTATCTAAGTTCACGTTTCATGCAACTCTCAATCTTGAGGCAGCTAGAAACCACTCGACGAATTGACTATATATCGATCTTATGTTCAAATCTGATTTCAATTGTTCAATACTTAAATCTCCAGTACAATAATGCGAACCATATGCACACCATTTGAAGAGAGTTGTGAAAGATGAAGAATATTGAACCAGAAGCCAGAATGTGGGAACCATATGCAATGTCTTTATTTCAACTTTTTAGCTCCATACAAAATGAATATAAAGACATTCAATCCTTGCCTTTCAAGGGTTTAGTTTAACTAAACAGCTGAAAACAGAGGCAAAAATGCAACGTTTTCTCCTTGTTTACAACATGTAACTCAATCATCAATCATGGTGTAAATGTGCTTATGATTAAACACACACAGCCCAAAAATGTAATGCCTATCACTGAAAAAGATTACATGAAGTCATCATAGTCATCCAAAGCATCGTAGGGATTACCCACCAAATCATCATCGGGCTTATCAACATGAAGCTGCTTTTTCTTCCCACCTGCCAGGAAAGAGTAAACAAACCATCAACTACTTAGTTTCAAATTCATTTTAGTTGCATAAATAGTTGTGTTGTATTCATCATCATTTTAAATGGAAAAATCTTAAGCACCATCGGTGAAATTTCATTATCTGGGGTTTGCATATGGGTTCTAGGCCCGCAAATACCAGAATCTTAGCAGAAGGTGCATGTAAGACAGGAATACTGAAGAATTTCCCTGTTCTGAACCAACAATTCCATTCCATTTAACTATCGTTTCAAAATCCATGACTTTGAGAAAAACCTAAAGTTTCTAAATGTCTGAATCTTAGCTGCTAGGTAAAAAATAAGTGGAAACATGTACCTTTCTTTTTGCCAGCATTGGCTTCTTTCTCAGCTTTTATCTTTTCATTTGCAATTGCACTCACAGAAGTTGAAACTTCTTTTGCATCTGCAGCTTTCATGTCAGTCATGGACAGTCTCATTACAGCCTTGAGTAAACCAATATAATGGAAACTTTTCTGCATTTTAAAATGTGTTTATTTTGCCAGTCAGAATCTACATCAGCATATAATTAAAACAAACTAAAGCTAATTCAACACACCTGAAATGGACGAAGCTTATGAGAAATGAGTTCTGCATATTCCAAGAAGTCACTCTCAGATTTTGGAACAAAACTATCAAGAGATTTTTCATCACCTTTCTTAGCAAACAATTCTGTTGTGGATCTGAAATCAGCTTCTTCCACCAGCCTACAATTGAGTAAACCTTTAAGAAACCATTTCTTACCCCAAAAAAATAAATAAATAAATAAATAAATAAGCCTACTGCAAACTTTTGCAGGACTCCTAACTAAATTGCCTGAAAAGTTACAACATGTAGAACAAAAACTCAACATGATTTTAACTGAACCCAACATGACCCCAACAACCTCCAGAATACCACTCATTGAGGTATGTTGAGAGGCCTTAATATTTTAGGAAACTAATTTCATATCTGTGTGCTGCTCCCATCCATAGTTACCAAACTTTAGGATATGCGATAAGGCTACGCAAGGAAAAAAAATAGAAAAAAGGAAAAATAAAGAAAAGCCTGATCAGCGGCGAGAATCTTCCATGTGACTGCAAGGGGGTAGAAGCAGAAAGGTTTTGGGCACTGATATTAAGACTAACTAGTTTCAAACCTGAAAATACTAGATTAAGCTTTTTTTTTAAAAAAAAAAACAAGGTCCACCGCTTCAGTTCCACCCAAACCTTCTTTGTTATAACCAATGAAGCTACTAACTTACAATTGGGCCATTGTTTTAGTTCCGCCCAAATCTTCTTTGTTATAATCAATGAAGTTACAAAATTACAATTAGGCCCAACTATTTAATTGATTATTTTGGCCTATTTTTGTTTTGCATTAACCTAAAACATTACAAATGATTTAGTGTTTTTCTTACAATGTTTTGCTGGAATTTTGCTAATGTTACTGTTCTAGATGACTCAATTAGTTTTACAAAAAATACCAAGTTCCAAATCAATGTACCAAATAAGCCTACCCCCACATATTCACCTAAGTGTATACCCAATCCTGAACCCCGTTTCTGGTAACTATGTTCCTAACTAATCCTCAAATGCCATTCCTGCTTCAATATATTCAATTTTAGCATCCTTTTTTGGCAGTTACATCCAAAAGATATGAGCAGGAAAAAAATCATCAAATTGCATTTCGATTTTTGTTCCTAAGTCATTGCTGCGTGTAGTAATTGTCGGAGAGCAAATCAAGGATAGCAAGGGTTCATGCAATGTATAAATGAAGAATTTTTGTAAACTGCTTCAAATTATTAGCAGAGATGAAAGATGCAAATTGAGTACCTTTGCTGGCGAAGTTTTTCAGCTTGTGGATCTAGTGGTTCTTCCTTTACAACTTCAACAGTTTTCCCCTTTTTTTCAGTAGACTTTGCAGCAGGTTTCTTAGGCGCTTTTTCAGGAGGAGGTTTCACCACAGGTTCCTGATCCAATTGCAATACAGAAATAACAAATAACAGTCAAGCACCATCATATATAAACATAAAATGCAGTATGTCACTTCATTATTTCTGTTATTCCATATAAACATAGAATAACATAAATAACATGAGTTTATAAGAGGATAATGTAAGACAAGGTCTAATAGAAGACATGCACCCAATATTTTAATATTGGGTTTCTTAATGACCCCTGCCCCCAAGTCTTACCCCACCCCCATCCCAACCCAAGTTCCACCCTTAAATCAAAAAGATAGCTCTAAGAGATATGCACACTATTTACAGGTTATGTAAGAGCTCCTTCCAAAACATAAAATATAGGCATTTCTATTCGTATTGACAAACTACCCATGTTTCCCGAACCTTTGCTTGGAAGAAAAAAGCTTTTATACCATCATGCTCTCACCCATTTGTTATTTAATTCTTATAACAATTTCTCCCCATTCGTAACAAGGGAAAACAATATAACAAAACATTTGAAGGAAATTTAAAATTTTAATGGTGATGAGTACCCCTGATGCTAAATCAATGTTCCATTAGAAAATTCAAAGAATCCTATCCCCATCTACCATTTTCCAAATTCAGCTGTGTGTAATGTCCCCATAACCATCACACCTATCATAACATTCAACATTTTAGACAACTTTGGTTGAAACTTGGAAACAACGAATGAAATTTAAAATGAAGCAACATCATGATCGCACTATCAATCATACCGGAGCTGGTTCATCGTCATCCTCCCATGATTCTTTCACATCATCTTCATCCACATCTTCATCGTCCCATTTACTTTTAGTCAGCTCTTTCGCAATGACAGGTGGAATTTTCTCATCTTCTGAAAATAAAACATGTTCACTAAATTAGATACCAAAATATAAAACATGAACGTAGAGAAAGTTTCATCACACAATGCAAGACTGAATACATTTTTATGGAGATACAACAAAATATTAGATTCTTTCTGTAAGCTTCAACAATATATAATTGACAACACTATTTTCGTAATTTTCTTTTCAATAGCTTAAATAAAATACCACTGCATTGGATGAGATTGCATAAGCAATGTTTGATTCTAGTTACATAGGCCAGTGAGCACATCCCATGAGCTATTTGTGTCAATGGATTAGTTTGGAAACATAGATCCAAAAGTTTGAATTCAAAAAAGTCAAACGAGTTTTTTATTATATCTTTATCCTCAGGCCTGTTTAGGGTAGGAAAACAAAAAAAGAGGAAACAATGAATTCATATAGACCTCTTTGACTTTGTACCTATGAAAAGGGAGTCTAGCATCCAATAAGGTGGGATTATTCTTTATTTGATTTATCATTCATTATCAAACACCCCATGATCATTTTCAAGTGAATTATTACATTTACCCATCCTTATGAAATGTTTGGATGTGTCACTTAATTCTATTTACATAGGTAGGTTAGCATTTGGACTTGTCACTTAATCTAGTTACACAGGTAGGTTACGGTCAAGCCCTAGCAAATCAAGTCAAACCTTAAATTTACACAAGCTCCTTTAATTAATTTAGCAGCCTTATCTTTCATACTCAAGTACAATAAAGAAATATTTCACCACACTTACCATCGATTTGTAATTAACAAACATCAACTCAGGGAATACATATTTCGCAATAGCTTGTGCCTTCAAAAAAAAAAAAGAAAGAAAGAAATAAACAATGGTCTGCCTTCAAGATGAGGCAAATACAGCCACAACTTCCAGCAGCAGTCATCGTGATGATCCATGTGACAACACTAGACACGTAGTTCAATATTATGAACAACATATCAACACTATGACATCTACTTCAATTCAAATTAATCCAAGCATACTATTTTAGATCAAGCAGCTATAAATTATCATGGTATTGGCACACTTGACCAATCAAATTCAAGTTGAAAGCAGAACTAAACAGGAGTAGAAACCGAAAAAGTCTCTTACCCCAATCTTCCATCTTTGATTCTTCTTTACCAAAAGAAAATCAGCTATTATCCCAAAAATCAAAATTGCCACCCTGCACAGCCAAAACCATAAACACAAAAAGGGTTTATCACCAACAGCAACAAATTGCCCATTAGATTTTAAATTCAAAATAATAATATAAAAATGTAACACAAAGCAAATCAATTATCGGAAAAAAAAATAAAGGGAAAAAAACCATTAACAAAAAAGAACTACAAATTTATTGAACAACAAATCAAGATCTTATTTTTTATTCATCCACATTAATTTCAAGTCCTGATACCCACAAACAAACAATTTACTAACAAACACAGAAATAAAAAGAGAGGGACCTTGTAGCGGTGGCTTATTACTCAACTTCTGCTTTATTTTCTTGAAGCAGAATTTAAAACTGCAAGAGCCTGGGAAAAAATAAAAAATAAAATCCAAAATTGGTCAAAAAAATCGAGTTTTTGATTAAAAAAAAAAGATGGGTTCTGCTCAAATCAGAGATAAAGATTGATTTACCAATTCAATTTGGGATCTTGACGACAAATTTCGATTGAAAACCCAAAATCCCCCTTTGTTGTTGGAGAGAGAAAGCGAGGGAGAGAGAGAGAGAGAGAGTAGGGTTTTTTCAGTATTTAGAAGGACGAAATCAGGAGGATGTTTTTAATTTTATTTTTTTGGCTTTTTATCTCTGCCGCTAATAAAGAAGCCAGTTGTGCGTTTCAATGAGAATTTGAGGCATTTTGTTGCCGTTTCGCTTCCCTGCCTACTTTACTAGAATTCTCCATCCAGGCATGTGGCTTTGGGCTAAACATGATCATGGACTCAAACTTAATTTTTTTTGCCCAACTTAATTTCTTTTTTTTAACTAATTTTTTGACCATTATCCCTATTAAATATATTTTTTTGTATAACACTAAAAAAAATTACAATTAACTAAGCCAAATTAATCTCAAAAAATGTTTGACTAACTAAAATTAGGTTCAATAAAAATTAATACTCTATTAATTTTTTTATATAAATTAAAATATGAATAATGGGTAGCTTGATTATTATTATGTGAATTATCCAAAAAAAAAAATCTTGAATAATTATTCAAATTACGCATTCCTCAAGCATTTGTTACTTGAATTGGTTCGAAAAATTCATCTCTTTTTCTTAAATACTATTCACCCCTACTCTAAATCTAACTAAATCGAATTACAAACAATACAATCTCTTTTGTAAAATAAATTCAGTAAATTATAATTAACCTTTTTAGTTTAAAAAATAAATAAATTAATCTTTTATTTTTTAAAAACTAATTATTTAGTTCGTTTGTATGTTTTATGTTTTTTTAATTTATTTTGATTTTTTTACAAAAATTAATGAATAATTATTGTGAAAAATTGATGGGAACAAAGATATTTAAAATAATAACAAATTAAATATGATCAACACTTATCTAAATATTGAACAATTAATTTTTTTATAAATTAAATTAAAAATAATAGGTAGATTAATTACTATTACTCAAATTATCAAAAAAAAAAAAATCTTAAATAACTGTTCAAATTACACGTTCCTCAAGTTTTTTTAACCATTTATTAATTGAATTAGTTTGAATAATTCAATTTTTTCTTAAAAACTATTCACCCATACACGAAGCCCAATTGAACCTAATTACAAACAATACAATTTCTCTTGTAAAATAAATTGAGTAGATTATAAACAAGTTCTTTTAGTTTTAAAAAATGAATTAATTAATCTTTTTTAAATAATTTTTTAAGTTTTTCTAATTTTTTTGGCTTTTTAAAAAAATTAATAAATAAATATTATGAAAAGATTTATGAAAAAGATATTATATTAAATTAAATACGAATACTGGATTAAATATTAAATATTACTTTTTAAAACAACAAATATCAATTCATTCATTTTTCAAAACTAATGAATATAATTTATAATTTACTCAAATAAATTCATTACAAATAAACTCTTTTGTCCAAATTGACACAAATAAAAGGCTAAACTTTTACAAATTTTTATCCATAAATAAGTGGCCACTCAAAAATTCCAAAAAGTTCTAGAGTTTCTAGATACTACTAGACTCTTCTTCTCCTTTCCCATTTTTCTTTCCAAAACGCTTCACTCTTTCTCAGACAAACTCTCGTCACTCCCATGTAAAAAAAGAAGCACGATCAAAACTACAATCATCAAACCCCAAAAACAAAACACGAAGGCAGAACTCAAACCTTAAAGAAAGAAACCAAATCATACCATGTTCGGTGTTGTGTTCCCCAACCGCAGTTTCCCAATGGACATATCCGCTTTCTCACAAATCGACACTTTTCATTGGATCCTCGACATGAACACTTTTGTAGGTAAAAAAATCAAAAGCTCTGTTGCTAATTTTCTTTTTTTTTTTTTTTACTAATTTGATAGCGTAGACCTACTGATTATTACTTTTTTTCTGTGAATTTTAGGTGAAGCATATGATCAAGTACGAGACATTTGTATTTTTCTTTTAAACAGCTTTACTCTTCCACCGGATAAGGCTCTGGCGGTGTATATTCAGTCTCCGGGGTCAGAATTTCAGTTTTGTGGGGCGGTGACAATAACGCGCCCTTCCGCGGTTTTGACGTTGAATTGGCCGGAACCTGGGGGTCAGTTGCAGCTGACAGGGCCGGATACGGCACCCCTTTCGGCCAAAATTGGGGTTTCGGTGGAGAATTTGGCGTCATTGCCTTCGCTGGACGTGGCTACGGAGAAAGGGGTTGAGAGGGTTGCGATGAAAGTTGGGGAGAATTTGTTTAATTATATGCAGTCGTTTTGTGGGGTTGATGGGAGTAAGTTGATTGTTCCTATGGATATTTTGGAAAGGTGGTTTAAGAAGTTTCAAGAACGGGCAAAAAGGGATCCTGATTTTTTGAAGAGTTTTCGGTTGTAATTTTTTTTTAATGAATGGGATTTGAGGTACCTTTTTTTTTAAAAAAAATGTTTTTGAAGTTTAGAGATGTTTCGTTGATGTTTTCTTGTGATTAAAGTTATAAAATCAGTAATTGTTTATGCCTTTCGTTGTTGTTTTTGTTTCTAGCATGAAATTCAGAAACTTTCCATGCTTGTTATAGCTAGTTAATCGCCTAGTATTGTGAGCTTATCAGGGGAAGAGGCTGCTCTTTGTATTAGCATGTAGAGTTTCGCTATGTTAATCTTAGCTGTCTTATTTCAGTAATGTATGGTGTGATTCTTGTTCTAGAGAAAAGCATTCCCTGCATTATTGTATGTACACTATATAGAGTAATTTCATCAGGAACTTTTATTTGGATGTCCGGTCCTGGGAATTGAAGGAGAGTCAGTAAATGTAGTGTTTTAAGGTACCCTTATCTTTATTTTTAATGATTATGAAGCTTAGATATGTTTCCACCAGTTTGCCGTGTTGGTTTTTTGTGAATAGGAAATCAGAGTTAATAACAATTTTTGCCTTTCTGTTGTTCTTTGTGCTGGCTTTTCTTTGGAGCTCAAAAATTAAAACGAGAGGGTGGTTCTTCACATTTTATCAAGTTGCTTTTTCTATGCAATGACTGCTCCGAGCTTACTAGGGGAAGGGGCTGCTCTTGTATTCTTAGCTAGGTAGATGTCCGTGTCATAATTAACAAGTTAAGTTAGAAGCTGTTTGTTTGATACTGTAATGGTTCAGTGATATGATAGTGCTGAAGTTTCTTATGTCTTTTACTACTATGTTGTGATTTTGGGCGAGAGAAAGCATACACTGCTTCATCTTCAGCGTTCGTGTCTATCTGCGTCTACCAGAAATTGAGTGAAGGTGTAATTTTTTCTGCATGATGGTTTGGCAATTTATCAAATGAGATCACACTTCCAGCAATGGTTCTGATTTTTTGCGAAGTGACTTCACTCAACAGGGTTTATGATTCACTTGTCCTGCCTTGGCATCCATCTGTGGTTGTGATCATCGGTAACCCATTAAAACTCTACTGAGAATAGCATAAGTGAGGAGGGCTTTATCCCTGTACTGCATTAAAGTTTGTTGTGAATAAGCATCGGTTGAAAGTGTGTGCCTTGCCATACCCATATTTCATTTTGCTGTGCAGGGGTCTATAGTGAAGTCTTTTCTCTCAATATTTCCGAAGGGAAGTATGAGATAGCTGATAGGATATCCTGCATAGCTATGTCAAGTTTATGATTGAAAAGCTCTAGGTCTCTCTAGTGTAGTTTCTTCTGGTAATATTGATGAATGGGATTAACGAATTAAGAGTACTATGACTATTTTTGTTTTCCTTCTAAAATTTGAATGTGATTAACGTGATGAATAAATTTTTCCTTCTATTATTTCTGCTTCCCAAACCCCCCCCCCCCCCCCCCCCCCCCTCTTAAGGGTTAACAGAATATTCGAAAATTCTTAAAGTGACCATCTGGGTGGCTTTGTTACCTTGAATTGTTCATTCTTTTCTATGTGAATGTGTGAACACTCTTGTTGTGAGCTTATTTGGGGAAGGTGATGTACTTTGTGTACTTACCCATGTTCTTATAGACAATTATTCTGTTCAGTTCAGTAATGTCCAGTATGTGCACACAGCAGTGCTGAAAGTTTCTTGTTTCCACTGCATTGCAATCCCTGTCAAATAGAAAAGCATAGCCTGCTTTATCTGGACATCCTAGGAAAGGAGGGAGCGACAATTGCAGTACTTAATCTGCTAATAATTTAGAAGATCTATGGAATGGGATCACAGTTTCAGTAATGGTTCCTGTTATCCTTGAAAAACTGCTTTATGAATAGCATGTCTGTAAAGATTATGACTCTGACTAGATGTAATTTCAATCACAGCCTGGCCAAGCAGGTTTGATGAATAGCTCTAGTTTTGATTGTAATCTTCTTTGATTGATGATAACCAGTATAGTCTCCTGGAATTATTTATTAAAAGGTCTATGAGATGGGAGTATTTTATATCTATGATTTTCCAACAAAATGTTGCTCTATTGTCGCCTCTCTCCGGCAGTATTTATTCAAAAGTATGAGACAGGAATGTTTTAAGGCTCGATAGGATTTTCGAATGTAGCTTTGCCAGAGGACTTGGTTGAACGGCGATAGGTCTCAACTTCCCAGCCACCAGTATTAACTTACCAGGGAAGGGGACTCTATTTATTATTCTTACCGATGCAGAGTTCTATGTTGTAAGTGACGGATGAAGTTGGTCTCAGTTTGTTTAGTTCAGTAATCTCTTTTGGATGCAAATGGGAGTGCTGGAAGCTTATTATTTTTGTAGTACAACAAGCAAAGAATCACACCCTGCTTCCTTGTCTAGTTCTGCGTGGCTCCCATCTCTACGAAAGATTATGACTTGCCACTCACGAGGCTGATATGATTTCTAATCATAATTTTAAATCACAGATAGTTGAAAAAATGGTTATTATCGCTGTCGTAGATTGTGACTTACTATTGTAACTTACTACTGTACTACAATAATACAATAATAATAACAGAATGTTTTAAAATCGTTATATAAACGGTCGTTGTATATCGTAAAAGCCATCATTTAAATCTATGTTTCTAACAGTCTTGCCAAGTGATACTGATTGAATAGCTGTGTCTTTGGGTTCGTTTTGTTGCATAACGGGAGGATATATTTTCCAGCTTTGAGCTTAAATAGCTTTCTTATTTGATTATGTCTCCGTTCTTCTAGTTTTCCTTGATGGATTGATAGTTTTGAATCTTATAAAAAGGCCGCAAAAGTAACTGTTGAATATGGGTATTAGAGCTGAAGCATCATTGTACTTCCATCAGCTGAGTGATTATATTAGCAGCTTCCTTTGCAAGGCTCTGCTGTGTGGTGCTTTAGTAGTGGGGAGCATAGTTACAAATAACTGCTGTTGTTTAACATATTCGAAGCAGATTTATTTTTGTTATACGACGTTATAGAAAGTTCAATGGTTTTTCATTCAAATAACATCAATAACAGCGTTATATAACGGTAACGATCGTTATTAAATGTTCTTTGGTGAATGATGGTCCAAATAAGCCTATGGTGGGGAGTGGTAACCAACTCTTATGGCGTTGCCCTACAGCTGGGCTAGCTATGTGTATTAGGCTGTTTTCCATTGACAATGAGAAACCAGCTGAAATCATATTAATATTCTGATTATTTAAGGTTCATTCTCTTCTTTGTAACTCAGGGTTGCATTTTTTGAGCTGCATGGGCTTGGTCTAGTAAATTTGAGGTGAAGTTCTGGGGTATAGCTGGTCCTAAGTAACCAGTCTATTTCATTGTCTGGCCCTTCTAAGTGGTAGCTTCCGTTCTGCGCGCATGCCCTTAAAATATCAGGAGAACATTGAGTAAATTATAAAGTAGTCCCTTTTATTTTGAGAATGAATTAAATAGTCTTTCTAAGTTTAAAAATAAATTATGTAATTTTAATTTAATATTTTTTTAATTTCATAAACTATCTTCTTTTTCATGAATCTTTTCATAGTATTTTTTATTTTTTTCTAGTTCTTAAAACAAAAAATAAAAATAATTTTTTTAAACAAAACTAAATAATTACTTTTTGAAACTAAAAAGATTAATTAATTCATTTTTTCAAATAAGAGGGCTTAATTTATAATTTACACGTAAAACATCATTATGATTATGATAAAGGAAAGTTAGTAACAAAAGCTCGGAAATTTACACTCTTAAGAGCAATTAGCTTGGCAACTTCCAAATTCTTTCCCTTTCTTATCATGAAATCATGTCTGGGGAGGAAAAAAAAAACTTTTGAGCCAACCTTAAAAATACCCAGCAATTATATAGGTAGTTTTAGTTTCAACCTACTATAAACTCATATGTCAATTTAGTCCCTCAAGTCTCTAAAATCATTCTCATTTAAGTCTTTCCATCAATCTTTTCATATTATTTTTTATGTTTTTCTAGTTCTTAAAAAAAAATCAAAATAAATTAAAAAAATTAAATAATTAATTTTTGAAACGAAAAAGATTAATTACTTCGTTTTTCAAAAGAAGAGGGAATAATTTATAATTTACTCGTAGAACATCATTATGATTATGATAGAGGAAAGTTAGAAACAAAATCTCCGGAAATTCACACTCTCAAGAGTTATTAGCTCGGCAACTTCCAAATTCTTTCTCTTTTGTATCATGAAATCATGTTTAGGGAGAAAAAAACAAAAAAAGAAACTTTTAAGCAAACCTTAAAAACACCCTGCAATTATATAGGTAGTTTTAGTTTCACCCTAATAGAAACTCTTATGTCAATTTATTCCCTCAAGTCTCTAAAATTCATTCCCAATTAAGTATTTCCATCAATCTTTTCATATTATCTTTTATTTTTTTCTAGTTCTTAAAATAAATTAAAAAATAAAAAGAATTAAATAATTAATTTTTGAAACTAGAAAGATTAATTACTTCATTTTTCAAACATGAGGGATTAATTTATAAATTACACTTAGAACATCATTATGATTATGATAGAGGAAAGTTAGAAACAAAAGCTCTGGAAATTTACTCTCAAGAGCAATTAGCTTGGAAACTTCCAAATTCTCTCTTTTGTATCATGAAATCATGTTTAGGGAGAAAAAAACAAAAAAAGAAACTTTTAAGCAAACCTTAAAAACACCCTGCAATTATATAGGTAGTTTTAGTTTCACCCTAATAGAAACTCTTATGTCAATTTATTCCCTCAAGTCTCTAAAATTCATTCCCAATTAAGTATTTCCATCAATCTTTTCATATTATCTTTTATTTTTTTCTAGTTCTTAAAATAAATTAAAAAATAAAAAGAATTAAATAATTAATTTTTGAAACTAGAAAGATTAATTACTTCATTTTTCAAACATGAGGGATTAATTTATAAATTACACTTAGAACATCATTATGATTATGATAGAGGAAAGTTAGAAACAAAAGCTCGGAAATTTACTCTCAAGAGCAATTAGCTTGGAAACTTCCAAATTCTCTCTTTCTTATCATGAAATCATGTTTGGGTATAAAAAAAAGAAACTTTTTGAGCAAACCTTAAAAACACCCTGCAATTATATAGGTAGTTTTAGTTTCACCCTAATAGAAACTCTTATGTCAATTTATTCCCTCAAGTCTCTAAAATTCATTCCCAATTAAGTATTTCCATCAATCTTTTCATATTATCTTTTATTTTTTTCTAGTTCTTAAAATAAATTAAAAAATAAAAAGAATTAAATAATTAATTTTTGAAACCGGAAAGATTAATTACTTCATTTTTCAAACATGAGGGATTAATTTATAAATTACACTTAGAACATCATTATGATTATGATAGAGGAAAGTTAGAAACAAAAGCTCGGAAATTTACTCTCAAGAGCAATTAGCTTGGAAACTTCCAAATTCTCTCTTTCTTATCATGAAATCATGTTTGGGTATAAAAAAAAGAAACTTTTTGAGCAAACCTTAAAAACACCCTGCAATTATATAGGTAGTTTTAGTTTCACCCTAATAGAAACTCTTATGTCAATTTATTCCCTCAAGTCTCTAAAATTCATTCCCAATTAAGTATTTCCATCAATCTTTTCATATTATCTTTTATTTTTTTCTAGTTCTTAAAATAAATTAAAAAATAAAAAGAATTAAATAATTAATTTTTGAAACCGGAAAGATTAATTACTTCATTTTTCAAACATGAGGGATTAATTTATAAATTACACTTAGAACATCATTATGATTATGATAGAGGAAAGTTAGAAACAAAAGCTCGGAAATTTACTCTCAAGAGCAATTAGCTTGGAAACTTCCAAATTCTCTCTTTCTTATCATGAAATCATGTTTGGGTATAAAAAAAGAAACTTTTTGAGCAAACCTTAAAAACACCCTGCAATTATATAGGTAGTTTTAGTTTCACCCTAATAGAAACTCTTATGTCAATTTATTCCCTCAAGTCTCTAAAATTCATTCCCAATTAAGTATTTCCATCAATCTTTTCATATTATCTTTTATTTTTTTCTAGTTCTTAAAATAAATTAAAAAATAAAAAGAATTAAATAATTAATTTTTGAAACCGGAAAGATTAATTACTTCATTTTTCAAACATGAGGGATTAATTTATAAATTACACTTAGAACATCATTATGATTATGATAGAGGAAAGTTAGAAACAAAAGCTCTGGAAATTTACTCTCAAGAGCAATTAGCTTGGAAACTTCCAAATTCTCTCTTTCTTATCATGAAATCATGTTTGGGTATAAAAAAAAGAAACTTTTTGAGCAAACCTTAAAAACACCCTGCAATTATATAGGTAGTTTTAGTTTCACCCTAATATAAACCCTTATGTCAATTTAGTCCCTTGAGTCTCTAAAATATTGTCAATTAAGTCCTTCCATGTATATCTAATTATAAATTACATCCGAATCGTGCTTTTCTTTAATAAAAAATGACATCTTTTTATCGAAAATTTACGTTTTCTATTGAGAAATTCTACAAAGATGGTAATTGAGAAATCAAAATTTAGACACTAACCAATAATTGGAGGACCTTTTTTTAGGGTTTTTTTTTTTTTGTTTTTTTCCTAGAAAGTTAGGAGCCATCATAATTTTATTGTCCTTGTTTTCTCATGCAAGATCGTAACAACCACAAATCCATTCTGTAGTGGTGAACTTGAGGGATAAATCACTCTTCAGTCAATCCCTCAACAACCATATATCTTATTTACAGGACTAAATATTAAAATACAAATTTTGAATTCAGGAAATTAGAGCATTTATAATACTTTTTTTCCCCATAATATTTTATGTAGTCATCAAACTTCTGAATTATTTGACCCTGCAACAAATATTGTTTTGTCCCATCTGATTGTTTTTTGTGCAATTAAAATTAAAACCAACTAATTAATTCCAAAATAAATAAATTCAACTACAGCCAATACACATAATTTTTTTTTAAAAAAAAAAAACTCCGGTGTACGCTCAAATTTTTCTAGATTCAGCTGAATATATACATCAAAACATCAAAATCAAAAAAATTAGATTTCATCGAATCCAAAATTTTAAGTTTTTTAATGATAATACCGATGAATTGAAAAACTTAAATCGAGAATGACATATTAAAATTTCATTTTAATCAAGTTTGAAATCATCGTCTAATCAAAGCAATAAAAATAAAAAAAATAAAGATTATCTTTCTTTTTGTTTAATTTCTTTCCAAGCCCAGAATTTCCCTTCTTTTCCGTTTGTTTACGTCGCCGCCGGTCCAGCACCGTTTGTGGCTGCCGCCCCTGCACCTCTGGTTGCTGGCTTGCTTGATGCTTTGTGTTCCTCTTCGGTTAAAAATCTTTTTGTTTACGTCGCCGCCGGTCCACATGAGGTGGGACCCAACCCAACAGAGCGTAAGATCAGTATCACAAACAAGGCAAGCAAAGGATGGTGCTTTAACAAGTGGGCAAAGTCAACAAGCAGCCTGAAATGTGTGATAAATATCACTTTCAAGAGAGAAAATAAAACTTTCATAAAGGTCAGTCAATATTCTTGTGTTCAAATTCAAGAGAGTGATATCTTAGTACATTCCCTTTTAGTTTCCACACAACTCAATGCTCATTTACTGGTGACCCACCCAAGTTGGGTACAAAATTAGGTGATCTGTGTTCATGAAATAATAGTTTGGGTATCCAAAATATGATAACATACTGAAAAATAAGCTTTAATTTATAAGATAGATTCAAAGTCTAATTCTTATGATCAATATTTTTAAAAATTTATTCTTAAAATATCTAAATTTAAGCGTTGGAAAGTGCAATTGTTCACATCCAAAAAAAATAATAATCTCGAAATACACAAAAGCTGAACCGAAGATATTTTTATCATTAAAAAAAATAATTTTGACAATTATGAAATTAAATTATTGCAAGGGTGAGAATTCACCATGATACATCTGGTCAATGCATAATGTTGTAAAAAAGGGATATAATTTTACCTAAAAAAATTGACTTGCATATAAAAACGGACGTGAGTTATTTAAGCAGGTGGTTTTAGATTCAAGTCTTCATGCACGTAGAAAACTTTATGAATAATTGTATTCGTCTTATACATTCAATAAAACAGTAAAAAATTAGTCTAGGCATTTGAATTTGAGATGCTTTGGAGTGAAAAAAAAAAAAAAAAAAAAAAAAAAAAGATACAATTGTTTGAATATTTCAAATTAGATTGACTCATCAACAAGATTTGATTCAAGCCATTTGAATTCAACACTTGTCTTGTTTTCTTTAGCACAGTAGATATTGATTTATTTTTATTTTTATTTTTTTAATTATGTATTAAGTAGCAATGTAATTAAGAGTTGGACTCGCCATTTGTCCCATTTCCTTTAGCACAGCAGATGATACAGATGTTGCATGACATCTTCAATATTTTCTTTATATGTTTGGACACATTAGAGAGAGGTAATAGTTACTTTAATTTATTATAAAATTTTCTCATGTGTTCTACTTTCATGTGGTTTTTCTCCTAAAAGGTTGTACGAAAATATATATATATATATGGCTTGCTTGATTATGACTTGATTAGAAAAGAATTTAATTTTGATGTGTGATAGTTGGTTGAATAATATTATTAAAAAAATAAAAAAATTGATTAGCTTTCACTTCAAGCTCGATCAATTCTCATTATTTTTTGTATTAAATTAGTATTAAATCACATCTAATTTTGAATTAATTCTAAATACTAGTCTTTTAAGTCTATTAGCCGTTTATATCTAATGTCATACAAAAAATAATAAAGAGTTTTTTAAAAAAATGAGAATCAAACCATCAGAAATTATTTTCTTACGACTCCCTTTGATGCTATAAAAACAAAAGATATATTTTTTTTCATTTGTTAATAAAAAATTATATTAATAACTAATTATATATATATTTCAGATTAGTATTACTAAATTCATCATTTTTGTTTTTTACTAATAACCTTCTTAATTTATATAAAACGATACATATAAAGGGGTAAAAAGTTTGGCTTCGTTCAGAGCATTAAAAAATACACAAAATAATTTCTCCTAAACCCACCTGGCGTTCTAGTTTTTGCTTATTTAAACCCGCAGCTTAAACATCTTCACGTCCATCAAAAACTCCGCAAAAGCCTCTCCCTCCTTCCTTCCCATATCTTCTTCGAGCAAGACTATCCAAAAACTTCCAGCTCCAGCAATGGATCAACTTCCAAAATGTGATGCAAATTATGCTCCTCTCACCCCCATAACTTTCTTGAAGAGAGCTAGCGTTGTTTATGCCAACCGCACCTCTGTTGTCTATGAGGGCACCCGCTTCACTTGGAGCCAAACTTATGAACGTTGCTGCCGCCTCGCCGATTCCCTCCGGTCCCTTAACGTCGGAAAAAACGATGTCGTAAGTTCATCGATCTTCACTCTTGGATTTTCTTTTTTATTTATCTAGTTCTTTATCGTTTTTAATGGGTTTTATTTTTTATTTTTTGGTTTTGGTTATGAAGGTGTCTGTGTTGGCTCCAAACATTCCAGCAGTATATGAGATGCATTTTGCTGTGCCTATGGCTGGAGCGATTCTCAACACTATTAACACAAGACTAGATGCCAAGAACATAGCCACCATTATTAGCCACTCAGGAGCTAAGGTTTTGTTCGTGGATTGTCAATACAAGGAGTTAGCAAGTGAGGCCCTTAGCTTACTGAATGGTACTGTACCATCAATCATTGCTGTTATCGATGATGTTGACACTCCCACCGGTGTCCGATTCGGCCAGTTGGAGTATGAACAACTTGTCCAAAGGGGCAGTCCAGGATACACCGGCGAGCTAATTCAAGATGAATGGGATCCTATTGCCTTGAATTATACATCAGGAACAACATCTGCTCCAAAAGGAGTTGTTTATAGCCACAGGGGAGCTTATCTTAGCACTCTTAGCCTGATTCTTGGCTGGGAAATGGGAAGTGCACCTGTTTATTTATGGTCTCTCCCTATGTTCCATTGCAATGGCTGGACCTTCACTTGGGGTGTCGCCGCACGCGGCGGAACCAACGTTTGCCTGCGCAACACCAGTGCTAAAGACATGTACAGGAACATCGCTGACCATAAGGTGACTCACATGTGTTGTGCACCAATTGTCTTCAACATTCTGCTTGAGGCCAAACCTCATGAGCGCCGCCAACTCGCTTCTCGGGTTGAAATACTCACCGGAGGGGCACCCCCACCAGCCTCGTTGCTTGAAAAGATCGAGGCTCTCGGATTCCACGTGACGCACGCTTATGGTCTCACCGAGGCTACTGGGCCAGCACTTGTGTGTGAATGGCAAACCAAGTGGAACAAGCTTCCACAGCAGGATCAGGCAAAACTCAAGGCAAGGCAAGGGATTAGCATCCTGACGCTTGCTGATGCAGACGTTAAGGATTTGGACACCATGGTTAGTGTGCCTCGAGATGGCAAGACAATGGGGGAGATCGTCCTGAGAGGAAGCAGCATAATGAAAGGTTACTTCAAGGATACTGAGGCAACTTCCAAGGCCTTCAGGAATGGATGGTTCGTCACTGGAGATGTTGGTGTCATACATCCCGACGGGTACCTGGAAATTAAGGACAGGTCAAAAGATGTGATTATTTCTGGAGGGGAAAATATCAGCAGTGTAGAATTGGAGTCTGTACTCTACAGACATCCAAGAGTCCTGGAAGCAGCTGTGGTGGCAATGCCACATCCAAAATGGGGAGAAAGTCCTTGTGCATTCATCTCGGTGAAAAAGAATTCCAAGGGCGAAACAAATGACGTTAAAGAATCTGAAATCGTTGCTTACTGCAGGAAAAATCTTCCCCATTTTATGGTTCCAAAGAGGGTGGAATTCATGGCTGAGTTGCCAAAAACTTCGACAGGAAAAATTCAGAAATTCCAGTTAAGGGAATTGGCACAAAAATTTGTTGCCAATGAGAAGGTGCCTAGCAAGAAAACTACTGGAAGCAGTCACCCTTCAGCTTCTGGTACGCAAGTGCCAGCATATGCTCATGCTCAGGAACAAGTTCTTGCTCTGTCTCGTCTTTGAACTTTCAATTCAATATTTTGTTAAACATGGAAATAAGATGTGTACATGGTGGTTTAAAAGTTACTAAGATCAATGAGCTTTATTTCTTCCTTCTTCTTTTTTTCTTTTTATCTTTTTTCCGATGAGAAAAGGTTATTAGAATTAAGAGACTTATCTTTTCTTCATCTCCATATATTCGTTTTGTTCTTCTTCCTCTTCCTTTTTAATTTCAATTATGTTTTGATGGTGAAGATAAATTCATGCAATATATATATATATATATATATATGCGAAATTGTTGCTTAAAATGACTGTGTCTCATTCTTTTCATCTTCAATTTATTGGTTCATCGATCATCCATACGAAACCATACTATTCGTAATATAATATTTTTTTTAGAAAAAAGAAGCAATTCATTAATATCAAAATATGGACTAAAATATATCACTATTTTCATATTACAATTGTATAAAAAAAAACAACAAGAGTGAGATTGAAATCTTGAAACTGTCATCCTTAAACTGCTTTTAATTATAAGAATTTATAACATCAAATGCACATAAATGACTTTAAATGATCATAAATCAAAACATAGGTACGGAAGTTCCATATCTACATACTAGTATCAAAATCTTTCAACTAATCCGATATATATCGTTACTAAATAAATATTGATTTATAAATTAAGTCTATGACTCGATTTTTTTAATTAATATTTTTAAAATTTTATTTTTATAATAATCGAAAAATAATTTATTTTTATAATAGTCAAGATCATGTATTGGAGAGTGCCTTTTAACTATATTCAGGAATGATTAATTTTAAGATTCAAAAAACTAATATGAAGCCATCTTTACTATTAAACCAAATAATAATAATAATAATAACTTAGCACATCTGATGCCATGTGAATCAAAGAAAGATCAAAATGGGGGCATTAACATGCACTATTAATTAATTAATTAATAATCCCATGTTTAAATAATAATATGTCGATAGCATCTTGGGAGTCACAGACTAAAAAATTTATAGTTCCAAAAAAAATAATAAAAAAATAAAACTAATAAATTTTATTTATAAAAAAATTGAAGTTGACACCATGAACCAAGTCACCACCATTCATGCATGCATGATTGGATCATATAGGAATATCAGATCGGCTCCAACAAACCGAGTAAATTATAAATTAGTCCCTCTAGTTTTAATAACTAATTAATTAATCTATTTTTTAAAATCTATTCGTAACTTAATTGTTTTTATTCTTTTTTAATTTATTTTATATTTTTTAAATAAATAAAAACAAAATATAGCTAAAAACTATGGAAATATTGATAAGAAAAGAAGAAATTTTAGGAAAAAAAATAATAAATCATAATCAATACTGGTTAAAAGACTAATTAATTATTTTTTAAAAAAGGACTACTTGCTCTGTTTTAAAAAACTAAAAGGACTAATTTATAATTTACTATTAACAACCCTTGTTTTGTCTTTTTCTTGAAGCTTCGTGTCGTTATGGACTTGTCAGACTCGTATTCTTCTTCTTCTTGTTCTTCTTCATCGTCTTTTCCATTACAAAACACAAAAAAAAAAGCGTTCAGATTCCTGCTTGAAGCAGGGTGGCATGGCTGCTCTGAATGCTGTTTCCTAGCTTAGCTCATAGAACTGCATGTGATTTTGGTGTGGTCGGTCCCCATTTTCTTGAGATGGATTTAACCATATGTATAAGGTTTCACACTAGATTGTATACGAATTTGCCATGTTCTCTTTTCCTTGACAGTGATTTTTTTTTTTTTCATTTTTCCTTAATATTTTCAGGTTTCTTCATGTGCAAAATAACCTAATAATTGAGACTGTTAAAATAAGTGTACTAAATGAATTTTTTTAAAAAAATTACGAATCATAGGAGTCTAAAAAATAGTACTAATATTATTTTTGCCAGAAGATTTTATTATAAAAGTATTAATTATTTTCAAAATTTTATTAAAAGATCTCAAGTTCAAATCCTTTAAAAAATAAAAATGAAGGAGTCGAAAGAAGCTTTTTTCTATTGCGTAGTTTAAGATCCACCCAATCTACAGGGAATATATATATATATATATAATAATTAAAAAAAAATAGGAGCAGGTAAATGAGGTGTTTTGATTTGAAAAATTTTAGGATGTCGATTCTCATTATAACTAAAAATATTATTTTTAGTTGTATCAGATTTCAATTGATTTGGTGTATTAAAAAAAAAAGACACTTAAGTGGTCAAATAAAAATTAAGCATATTATGACATTAGCTTAGTTCAAAAAATAATATATTTAGTATCAATTGATGTAAAAATTGATTCGAAAATATCTTACTGTGCATATATAAAGTGATATGGATTTTAGTAAAAACGTGTATAATTTTATAAATATTCATAAAATACAAATAATGGTTATTTTAAAAGGAACATGACTTGAGACTATTCATATAATATTAATATAAAAGTTACCAAAATCTTATTAATAATTTTTCGGTCAATTTTCTCTTCTTTCCGAGAAATTCTGAGAATAAATTGAAATTGCTAATTGAAATTCCGAAGACTTGACTGATTGAAAGGGTCAAAACCTCGAAAGGGCTAAAAAAAATGGTTGGTGCAACGATCCTTGATTTGGAGTGTAGTGTAGCGAGCCATTACTATCATTAAAAAAACACAAATCATGTTGTACAATGTATTGATTGGTGTGTTTAACGATACTAAGTACATCTTATGATCCTTAAAAAAAAAAAAAAAAAAAAAAAAAAAAAAAAAGGGGTCTTATGGAATAGAGTAATTTATAAATTATTCCTTCTAGTTTTTCAAAAAGTATTAAATAGTCTCTCTAGTTTTAAAAACTAATTAATCAGTCCTTATATTTTTTAATCTATTTATAACTTAATCATTTTCTTTCTTTATGAATTTTTTTATTTTTTAATATACAGAAAAAGGAAAAATAAGTAAAAATATAAAAATATTGATGAAAAAAAGACATTTTTTTGAAAAAAATAATATTAAATTAATCTTTACCAACATTAGTTAAAGGATCCAATAATTAGTTTTTATAATAGGAAGGAATATTTAAATACTCCTTCTAGTTTTAATAACTAATTAATTTTCTTATATTTTTAAATCTATTTGTATTTTTTTTCAATTTTTTTTTTGCTTTAATAAATAAAAAAGGAAAATGAGTAAAATATAAAAAAATTGATGAGAAAAGAAAATATTTTTTGAAACAAAGTAATATTAAATTAACCATTGTCAACATTAGTTAAAAGACTAAATAATTAGTTTTTAAAATAAAAAGAACTATTTAATTCATTTTGTAGAACAAAAGAGACTAATTTGTAATTTACTCTATCAAACAAGGACCATGTGATTCAATCTCGTAGCTTTCCTTTCTTATGACCCATATCTTGAAGAAAGAAAGGAAGGAAGAAAAAAAATGGGAAATTTGTGATGACATCTAATTAAGCAAACGATCACAAAAACAGGGAAGCATGCAACACGAATTAAGTCCTCAGACAAGGACCTATGTGGGATCAATCGACTTGATTGAGGGCCCTATTTCTTAAATCAAAAGAGAACAATATCAAGGTTGTTGAGAGAAATTATTATTCATTCTTTTGAATTTTGTACTAATTGAAGAAGACAACATTATTCTTATGAATTCTTTTGTTCATACCCACGACACATGCAAGTTGGATTGCTACACTTTTAATATTAGATCTCATTTTGTTCTAGAAAAGTGAGACGAAACAGAGCCACGTTCTCTTTCTTATTTAATAATATTAATGGTGGAATGTGATAACTCAATCTCACGTTCTAATCTCGTAAAAAACATTAATAAAATATAAATACGCTATAAAGATGTGATATAGTTGTGAAGATTTTTTTATTTTGCTGAAGGTTAATGTTTAATTTTCATTATTTACGTATCAAATTTGAGTTGATTTAATTTAAGATATAATAAATGATCAATCAAAAGTAAAATATATTCTTACATTAAACTTAATTTAAAAAATAATGAATTTAATCTCGATTTATGTAAAATCCGATAAGAAGATACTCTATCAATTTGAAATATAGAAAAAAAAAAAAAAAAACCAATTCAAAAATACATTTTATTATTGAAATTGAAAAGTTATTGACAAAAATATTAATGCTAGATCAATTCTAGATGAATTATATGTTTAAGATCTAGTTTATTTAACCATTAAACAATCATATTCAAATAATAAATATATTTTCACCAAATGATGTTAGTTGAAGGACAACAGCTTCTAACCATAAAATTCAGGATTCATTCACCACAGAACAGAGTTCCCATCTGCTTGTTGACCAAAAAAAAAAAAAACAAAAAAAAAAACAAAGTTCTTGCGGCCTTGAAAAACGTTTTTGGAACATGAAAATGCCCTTTTTGTGGTATCCAAATTCCAAAATAGTTCCTTACTAGATTTTTTTGATACCGTTACGTTGCGGATAGGATAAAATATATAAAAGTTTTTTTAAAAATTATTTTAGTTTGATAGTTTGTTTTATGATGTGAATGTATAAAAATATATAAAATCAAAAATAAAAAATATTTTAAATTGTTTAATGTAACTTGAAATTAAATGGATGAGAATTTAAAAAAAAATGATAAATTAAAGTAATAAATTTTAAATAATAAAAATAATTAAAAATTTAAATTTAAACAATAAAAATAGTATAGTCATATATGTAGATATATCATCTTTAAACTTTACGAAAAACTAAAAAAATAACGATTTATTTTTTATATTTTTCATTTTTTTTTGTTTGATAGACTTTTTTCTTTATTGTTTTTTTTCTTCTTTTATATATATATATATATAGAGAGAGAGAGAGAGAGAGAGGCGCACTTGGTTGCAAGCCAACTAGGACAAGAGACTAGTTGGCTTTTGCAACCAGATTGCACAAAAAAAAAGGGCATCTCGCTGCAGGTAGGCCCGCTTGCTAGGCCTTGCCTGCAGCTCAATTTAAAATTAAAAAAAAAAAAAAAAACCTATAATTTTTGATAAACTCGAGGTCGTTGGAAATTTATCGAAAAATTAGAAATTAACTTTCGGATCTCTAGAAATTAAATTTTAGCATTATTTTTTTCCAAACATCTCTAAATAATCGAAATAAAGCCAATAAACATATCTAAAACCTTTAAAATCATTTTAATACGTACAAAAACAAAAAAAAATACAAAGTCAAATCGGTTTTTTTCTTTTTTGGCTCCGATCTACCTTCGTTAATTGTTTAATGGCTTGAAATCATCATGAACAAACTCATCTCTCAAAGATAAAAAGATATAATGGATTTTCGCCGACCAAAGCGGCTTAAATAAGCTTAGTCGGCGATCTCTCTCTTTCTCTCAGCCTTCTCTATCTATCTAAGGATCAAAATAGATAAACAAATAAAAATGTAGATTGAAATATGTATTCGAAAATATGAAGGATCAAAATGTAAAAAAAAATCATAAATAGTAAAAATAACAATGAAATATGAGAGATTGAATAGTAAAATATGAGTGTATATATAATATTTCAAATAGTATCACTATTTATTTGATGGTTTTATTTTATTTTATTTTATTTTATTAGTTAATTTGTATAATAAAACTTGATTTAAAGGCAACTCTACATTCTATTCTTGTATGCTGATTTGGACAATTCGTGAAAACCATGGGAAAGTGCCAAACGCGCCATACTTCAGGTGTGACATATGGTCAGAAATCTCATGGCCATCGTAATGATGAAGTATTGCTTGGCAAATGAAGGATTGGTGGTCAAAAAAGGGTGTGATCGCCACAGCCTTTTTTTTTTTTTTTTTTTTTTTGGAGATTGGGTAATTACAAACAAACGTTATAGAGTGCAAATAATGAAGAAATCTCCTGTTTTTTTTAATGTTTTGAGATTATCTGCTTGGTCATGTTAGTTAGTTAGATAATGGTAGTTTGGTTCAAACCAAGCATTCATAAGATAGAAGATGCCTAATCTCTTTAGTTTGATTTCGGTTTAATTAGTTTTTATTACGTATTAAGATATATAAATCATTCTATCTGGCTTAACGACAAGCATCCTATATTTAAAAAAATCTTTTCTTCAAATTTATACTGGTTTTGACAGTCTTAATGTAATAATAACTATTTATATGTCATTTTTTTATTTCTAAATCGATTTTATATTTTTTAAGTTTTAAACCTAAAACTGATGATTAAAAATTTATAATTTTTATCATATTTTCTATAAAAAAAAACTCATGATAAATCTACAATATATCTTTAAAAAAATAGACAGGTGAAAACAACGGTTTTTTGGGTAAAAGTAGTTTTATAATGGTCCCAAAAAACAGAGAGAACGAAAAAAAAAAAAAAAAAAGAGTAATATATCTATCAAAAAGGGAAAAGTAAACAAAATGAAAAAAAAAAAAAAGATTTCTGTTGCATGGGCCAACCGGACAAGGCCGACCTATTACAAAGGGACCAAATGAAGGTTAGGCGACGCGTCGTCCTATTATATTGCATGGGCATACAGCGCATCATTTGAAAATGGGAAGGCTGCGTGCTGTCTTCGCTTAAGAGATAAGCGAGACTACTTGTCGTCTGATTTGTGTTTGAGGCAAACCTTATTACATTGCATACTGTTTTCTTCATCTATAAGATTTCTGGTTTACCTCTCTTCGGGTTTTTTTTTTTTTTAGCCGTTTCCACTAACCCTTCATTCTTGGAATTTGACCATATCACAACACGTTATGTCACAATGGATCATGTCAACCATGGACTTCAAAACTACTTATTTTTATAGATTTTTTTTTTAAAAAAAAAATTTATAATCCAACTAACACGCTCAAGCCCCACAACATAAAGAATCAAACCCCATACCATAAGAAATCTAAATAGTCAATAATTCAAAAATAATAAGAAATATCATTACCGACTTTCATAAATGTTATGCCAATTTTCCGCACTTTCCCTTCCTCCTTTCTCTCTTGTTAAAGAGGTAGTCAAGGAGGAGTTAAAAGTTTTGTCCTTTTTCAACTAAAAATGGACAAAACATCCAAGGAAACTTCCAATCAAAATGGGTGTTAAGGATTCAGATTTTGGAAACTACCTCTCTATTCCTTTGGTAGCATTTTCCACAGAATTTCATTACTTTGACCTAAACGATAAAAGACTGAAAGTAGAGTTCTCCAAGTTGCAGAAAAAGCTAAGGTGTTGTTTAGGTTACTTTGTAGCAGTGTTTTGAGGTCCATGTGGAAAGCAAAACATGTGTTAGTCAAAAGTCATAATCCATTTCTTGAGCAAGAGTTTAGTCATATAAAGAAGTAAACTAAACCCTATGCTGTCACTTAGAAATTAAGGAGAAAGAACTAAGAAAATGGAAAGTAGATGGAGATGGAGGTTGGAAGAAAGAAAAGTGTGCAGATTTATGGAGAATAGAAAATATTGAGTTATCTTAGACTGAAACCCTAGCAAAGACCACTCAATTTTGGAGCAGATTATAAATTAGTCCCTCTTGTTTAGAGAAACTAATTAATTAGCCTTCTTTCTTTTAAAAACTATTTGTTTGGTCCTTTAGGTTTTAATTTCATCAATAACTTAATCTTTTCATTTTTTTTTTTTTACTTAGATTAGCAATTCTTGCTTCTAAATCGTCATTTTTTTTATTTTCGATTGATGAAAGAGAAAGAAAGTGGATGGAAAAAAAAATAAAGCATAAAAAAAGAGCAATTTTTGAAAAAAATAACTGATTTAATAGAAAATTGATGAAAATGCTAAATTCTTGATGGAATTAGAAAGTAAGGAACTAAATGAATATTAGTTTTTAAAATGAGAAAACTAATTAATTCATTTCTCAAAACAAGAGGAACTAATTTATAATTTACCCCTCAATTTTCCAAACCTAAAACTCTTTCTTTCTATATTTTTTATTTTTTTGAAAAAAAAAAAAAAAGGATAGAGAGAGAGATTCAAACCCTAGACCTCTTAAAGAAAAATAAGAAAGTGGATACTAAGCCATAAGGATTAATTGTGACAGGCTATAGAGATCCATATATACCCTTGATTCTCAAAAGAAGGGAAAAAGATTGGACCCAAAATCCTGTAAAATGGTCCAACTTATAGTCCTCCAATTTCGAAGTTGATTACATCCAACAGCCTCCAAGGTAAATGATCAAACAAACTGGTCATTCGAATTGGGTCATTTTGCAGAGGGCTTTGCCCACATTGTAGCTGCCTGTTGTTGAATGCCAATGCATTCAAAAAGCTCAACTCAAGTAGAACAATATCACACAACCATGTTCTTCAACTTGAACATCAAATTCATTCATCCCTTTCTTTGGTTTTTTTTTTTTTTTCATTTTTCTTGGTCATTACAATGGTATTTTGATAATTGATATTAGTTCATCTTGGGTTGCAGTTGCAGGGATTGCAACTCTCTTCATTTTGGAAAGGAAAAGACTCCGAACAAAATTGACAAAATTCCGGAGTTTCTATAAATGAATTTTCAGAAATCTACAAAGACTAGCTCTTACAGGAGAAACTTGAGTTACAGTGAATCACCTAAATGCATTCCCCCCATAAAATACCACACGTCCACCCTCAGCTTCATAGCTCAATCCCTTATCTACAGCCAGCTTCATATAGTTTAAGCCCTAATCTATGACATTTCCCGGAACCTAGCAAGGGCCTTCTTTTGAATCAGTGTTTTGTAACTATCCCCAGCCTGCACCTCAAGATTTGGATCCAACTTCTTCTGCTGACTCCCGAGTCCTGCTCTACTATCTATGGCTTGGGCTTGAACTGGTTCAATCATTCCACTTCCATCCTTCCCCAGTCCCTGTAAATCATATCAAACACCAAAAACCAGAAAAGACAGTCCCAACAAAGGATACAAGTTAGAATCTAGTTCCATGATTGCTGCAAAAGCATTGACCACCAGAATATATGATTCAACTTTAACAGTGTAGGGCAGCAAACAAGTAACAGGACATTGTGGACATAAAGAGACGAGAGAAATATTAGTCATTCCGAAAGTTGGCAAAATTACACTGAAATGGAAAATTTTAAGAGCATTTTCGAGATTTGGCTTTCAAAATACTTGAAAAGTATGATCATCAAACAAAAGCAAAGGAAGAAAAGGCTGTTCTAACTAAAACCCATTTCAGAAGGATAACCAGCAAAGTCAACAGCAGTGACCAAAAATTCACTACCTACAACCCATTTCAAAAAGATAACCAGCATAGTTATAAACAGTGGTCAATAAATTAGCATTTAAAATTATTAGGAGCAAGAGAAGGAAATGATACCGAGCCTTCTTGCCAGCCCATATTGCGAAGCATTCGATTGCCTACATTGCTCTCACCAAGTGCCTTGTCTGCTGTAATAACCTCATAACTCTGAGCATCTCCAATCCCACGTCCTCCTCCAACACCAGGGGGAATGGCATTGAATCCAAAGTACTCCTTTTGAAAGCAGAGTCCCGATCTTTAAGAGATCACGAATGGCAAACACAAAGGATTCCTCACAAGTTAATATTTCTATCAAGACATAAAGTAAAGCATTGGGACCCATTCACTCGAATCACCGAGAAGTTTGAGAAAACTAAAATCTGATAGACATCCAGGGTGACTAAACAGGCAGATGTAAAAGGTACCAAGTCCAGTGGTCCTAATAAGATATAACCTTGTAAAGAATAGAAAAACATGTTTTTAAAGCTTACGTGAATCCACATCAGGCAAATCATCTCCCACAGAAGATGAGCCATACAAGCTCCTCCTTTCGGCTGCACGATCCCTGTAGGCACTCTGTGGTTGCTCCTTGTGAGTAGAAGCAGAAGGCAGTGGCATTTCAGAAAATCTCCTCTTGCCACTCCCAGCAGCCACAGGTTGTGTGTACGAGCCCAATGCAGATGCATCTGTCCTAAAAGGAGTTGCAACTGAAGATGCATCTGCATTTGTTGATGAACCTGACGTGGTTAGAGGTATGGCAGCATTGGATGTAGAAACTCCAGCAGAAGGTCCAGAATATGTAGTATCAGACTTCACAACACCTCGTCCAGAGCCCCTTATAACCCCCATCAAAGTCCCTCTTGAGCTGTTGCTCACAGGTCTTAGCTTAACTGGAGAATCCAAACCAGTAGTTTGGGCAGATGGGGTTGTGATGACTCCTGAACTAGACATAGTGTTCTCCTTTGTCGTTATTGTATCAGATTTAAACTTGCTCTTTGTGGATTGCCCAACTGAAAAGGGCCTGTCATCAGCTGGAACAGATGAATGGCTATCATCAAGAGCCACACGGGTAGCTTGTCCTTCATGACTCCTTTGCTTCCACATTGTTAATACGTTGTTCATTTTCTTCTTGTTAGCCAAAATACTGCTCTTTGAAGCAAGTTTTATCTCCTTTGCCCTCTCCTTCTCTTTCTTCTCTGCAGCTAATGCTGCTGTAGCAGCAGCCTGGACTGCATCGTGTAAAGAGGCAGCCTTATCCATAGATGTAATAGTTGCAGCCGGTGCAGAAATTACTACTTTTCTGTTACTGGAACCATCAGACGCCTTTGAATTCTCAGACTGTTTACCAGATGCTTTATTGTCATTGTTATCCGTGAAAGGGATGTACTGCTGAGTTTGCTGGTCATATGAGTACCAAACCCCTCTGTTACCATCATAATAAAGACCTGCATATTACACGTGCATATTACTCAATCAAAGAACCAACAAGTTGCAAAGGAATCATGATTTCAGCTTAAACTCTGAAGATAATACTTGTAGAATGCCAGTAACAGCGATTCTAACTGTGTTCAAAAGTTCTTGGTCCCAGAAAAAAATTATAAACAGACCATAACATGTTCCCGTGCAAGCAGGAGATATGATCAGCTCCATGGCCTGTAAACTTTCTACTAGGGTTTGCACCTTACAAAGTGTCACAACTAATCCCAAGCATGGCAAACACAGCATCAACCACAAGGGGTATATGATTCCACACAAATTCTTCTAATAGACATCCTCATGGCTACACAAAAAAGTATTTCAGACAGTGCAACTGCAATTCCTGCCTGGGTCTCTATAAACTTTCCAGAAAGCATGTGTACATTCTATGTTTGTTAGTTCACAGCAACAAACATGAAAAAGTTTCCTAGAAGACAACCACTCCACAATGCCACCATAATCTTTTCCTGCAGAACCTTTTGAAGGAACAAGGAACCAAATCCCGAACTTGTCTAAAGAAACTAGACACAGAAATTGCATCTTCAGAAAAAAACTCCTAAGAGAAATTTAAGAGATGAGATTATGGATCACAAAATTGAGCACCGCTAAGACTAAAGGAGGTTTACAGATAAGCAGCTCCAGTCATTTCATGGATGGCAACGAAGGAAGTAAAATCACAAGCAAAAGCACCATATATGCAGGGCAAGTAAACACCTTATTCCTTTCACAAACCTCACATGCATAATTGTCCTACTGCAACTTTCCTATCGTATAAAAATCACCATCATCTAAGCAGTTATAGTATACAAATCCATTGACTATATATGCTCACACAATCTTCTGCCAAAAAAAAAAGGCCACAGAAAAGCAAGCCATCTGTTCCCAAATATTCTGCACCAGCAGCAGTTTTACAAGATCTGCAAGAAGTATATTAACAATGCTCCCAAAATCTCAGCAACTAGCTGTAACTTGTTAATTTTTTGCTACCAAGAAGGCTGAAGTGCCTAGAAAGACACCTAACCATGAACATGATTTGCAAGTTCCATACAGGAATAGTGTTCGCTCCTCTTTCTCCACATAATTGTATCGTCAGATAAAACTTGTTCATAGGAATAAAAATGAAAATGTATATTTAAACTAATTCAGGGAAGGAAAAATCAGTCAGCTTGTACCAGGGGAAAACCTGTGGATAAAGCATGTGCAATGGGCCATACATACCAATTACCTATCCAATAAATAATTATACTAAAAGATGAAAACGACATGCCCTTTCAGGAATTTTTTTAGCATGAAGACAACAATCAGAAACTTGTCATCTAGTAAATGATACACATTCATTATAACAATAGCTCAGATCCACAAGGCATGCAAAATGTTATCTTTCACTTCCACTTGGTGCAAATCAAACAAGAAATGTAGAAGGAACCTGTATTTCCATCAAAGTAGAAGCCAGATGCAGCATCATAGTAGTAACCAGATGCTTCATCCCACACAAAAGCAGACTGTGCAGCAGAACCATCCTTTTGATTTGTAATCTCCCCACCAGCTTGCTCCTGTCCATCGGCAGATTGCTTGTCATCTGGGTTATATTCCTTAGGTGCCCATCCAACTGCGTCATACTAAAAGATGAAAAGGTAAGATTTCAAGAATCCAAACATCATATATAACATTAGCATATTTGGAAACCAGAAAGCAAGCACATAGAATTAAGAAGGGTGGTGCAAGTAGTAATAAAACTAAAAATGTAACAATAAAAAGCTATAATTACTAATGGTCCAACAGACAGAAATGGCAGGGACAGGAAGAGAACCTTAGAAGGTATCTCTCAATTCAATGAACCATAGCAAAACCTGCTCCGTCTAATGCATCGATGAAATCACAAAAAGATAAACATCAAAAAGTTTGAGCACAAATCCATTAAGGTGGAAATAGCACCTTGACAAACACCCAGCCACATTCATCTTAAGTTCACAGAGTGGATTCCTTGTCAACACGTCGGATTGCCATAACAAATTACATGCTGATAATGAAATTTAGTCTTTGATCAAAAGAACTGCCTAAAGTGGCTATTCTGAGGTGTGAATTAGATGTATCATATATCAGAACATCATTTTCCTCTCGTCTGCTCATCAACATTTACTTCGCAACCATTACTCCAGAAAGAGAGGGGCCCTTGTTATGAAGGCATCTTTTACATTTATATGGTACAAAGTACAAGTGCAATGTCAACTTTCTCATACTTTCCCACCAACAATCACTTCACAAAAAGCTTTTACTGACTTCAAGCAACAGAAAATTAAAGTAGTTTCCAGACTAATAATTTACTTCTTCCAAAAAAAAAAAAAAAGATTTTCCCTAGTCTTTCAAAATCTGAAGTCTGAAACTAAAGCATTCAAACCATGTAAAATTAGTAATTCAATTTAAATGCGTGACCAAAAAGAAACTACAGTAGTTGAAAAAATTAATTGAAATACCTGTTGTGCAAATGCCGCTGCCTCAATTGCAGCAGCTGCTAAGCTGCTTGACTGCGACGATCCTGACGCCCCTGGACCAAGAATGCTCTTTGCATATGCCACTCTTAAGATCTGCCCATTCTTCTCAAGAGTGGTTCCATTGGTTGCATCAAGGGCTTTAGTAGCATCCTCAACCTACAAGACAAGAACCATATAATTGAAATAGCAACTCCCTTCTGTTCTGTCTCTAATTATACAAAGAGCAAGAAAATTCCTCCATACAGAGAGCAGGTGTCTTGCAGGGCACAAAGGCCATACAACTATAATTTCAACAAGAAAAAAAGAAGAAGAAGCTTTAAGTAGTATAAAGGGACTAGAATTTTAGTCTGAAATGGGACTTCGATAGGTAGCTAAGCTATCATATCAGCAGCAACATTAAAAATATAAGACAACTGGCATGGTACCACTGGTTGTGTTATTTTTGATAGCCTAGACTAGAAGACTTTTTTGGTTGTCGACAGAGACATCTTTCTTTGTATCATTTCCAAAAAAGTTAGGTGAAAGGAAAAAATACCAACAAATCATAATTTGTTCTACAATTTTTCTACATAGTTTTGTCATAAAAATACCTCTTAATCATCGTTAGTAAGTTTACTTTAGCTCCTGCCATATATTTGTCACTTATGCATTGTTAATAACAAATTTGGACTTCTTAATCATTTGAATTGCATGACAGCCATCAAATATCACTTGGACTAAGAAAAACTGGAAAGCAAAGAATAAGAGGAATAGAATATTCAATAAATCCAATCACCAATAACAAATGTATTTACCGAATGGAAATGTACAAATGCAAATCCCCTTGAAACATGAGTAAACTTGTCTCTAACCAGCCGAAGATCCTGAAAATTAAGAACAATAAAAATTTAGAACATAACAGATTCGGGGAAAATTTTCTAATATAACCAAATAAATTCTACAGCATTTTGTACCTTAATTGGAGCATGTTTGGAAAATTCATAGCGAAGCATCTCCTCATCCGCATTTTCATCCAATCCACGAACAACCAAAACATGAGTTGGACCTGATTAGGTGTCAACTTAGCAAGTTGTGGCATATATATATATATTAAAACATGTCAGGAAAAAAACCAACATTTCAAACCAACCTGCCTCAAATCCTTTCTTTCCTAAGGATGGTGGATTTGATAAAGCCATATCAGCTGCTGGTGCATCATCAGTTCGTGGCTCATTGCACTGCAGCATAGGATTAAAGAGGCCATTCAACAATTTGTTCTCATGGATCTTAATTCTGAAACCATTATTAAATCCACTAGCATCCCTGGGAAAATGTTTATTCTTTTCTGTTTGCTGTAAAATCATTAAGCAAGAGCTCTGCAGAAAAGAACTACAAGTCCACACTATTTAACTAAAGCAAACCACAAAGTAACAGCATGTTAAAGCCGTTAATGTGACTTCCAACACACATTAACCTCCAAAACAACACAAGCAAATATAATGATTATCATTTCAAAGCTTCACATGCATGCTCAGCACCAGCAGGGCATTGTTCTTGCTGTAAGTGTGCTTACAGATAAAACTAATGGCCAGTGGCCTGTGTATTCATAGAATCTTATAACTGTTCAACTAATTCAAAATTAAAAGGAGCAAAAATGAGATGGAAAAACAAACCTGAAAGCAGGATGTACGCCTTGCAAAATTGACACAACCACAAATGGTGCACATCCAGTCAGATGGTACTGTAATGTTTCTGTGCTGACTGGATTTCTCCTGACCGAAAGGTCCACCTGCCCCCCAGTTGGCTTACTACTGAAAGACAACAGAATCCAAAGTGATAATGATTATGCTTGAATCCAAAAATATGCCATAGGACCACCATATATATGTACAGAGACATCAACATAGCATTTTCATCAAAAAAATGCCTCAATCAGTTGGATATTGATGGAGAATAGTTCTAGGTAAGCCAGCAACAGCTAAAGTAAGAATGTATCAGGATTTCACCAGAATGTGAGAACCAACACACTTGCTCAATGTACAACACAGAGATACTAGCATGGAATAGGTAATCACAATTGACTGTTATGATACCACAACCATGGTGTGATGAAAGAGAAATACCTGTACTCAAAGAAAAGCTTTCTGCCATCAACAACAAGACCATCATTCCCAATCTTATCCATCATTGCACATGCTGCTCCCTGTTTAGAACAAAATCATTACTTGAATGCCATTCAAGAAAGTAAATGCAACATTGCCAGATTAGGCAAATAGATACCACAGAAGGAAAATCAATAAAGGCAAATCCACGAGAGATGCCAGAATTCCTCTCTTTGATCACACGAACATGGCGAAGTGGCCCCCACTCAGCCTGTTGGCGACAAAAATAAAAAAATAAGCAAATAAATGTTATGACAATATCCAATGAGGAAAAGCAACAGTACCCAGAACAAGAATGTAAAGTAAGACATTACAAGTATCTGGTAAAGATCTTCCTCGGTAGTCTTCTGTGAGAGACCCTTCACAACAACGGTTGCAGATGGGGCCTACAAGAGTTCTTGTTAAAGCCCAGTCACACACCACAGATCAAGGCAGGCAGTAAACAACAATATTCAAGAAGGCTGTATGAAACATACCACGTCATAATGGCCACGTGCTCTCTTGTCTTCACGGTCCCTCCTCCTTTCACTTCTCTCATGCCTGCCATCATCATAGCTGTCCTCCCGTTGACTTCGGCTATGACTTCGATTTCGAGGGGACCTTGATCTAGGACGATCATCAAATCCACGGGACCGAGATCGGTCATGCCGTCTATGTGGACTCTGAGATTTTTCCAGACTCAGACCTCTCTTATCACGTTCTCGATCACGGGATTCACGCCTCCTCCAACTACCATCTCTCCTGCTGCCTCTTTCATAATCAGAATCATAACTATGCCGACCATATTCATAATCCCTCTCACGGCTATCCTCCCTATTTTGATAGGAAGCACGTGACTTATAGTCATAATCATCATATGCATAATCATCACGGTCACGTTCCCCGAACCTAGAAGGCCTGTCAAATCCATGATCACGATAGTTGTCAATGCTGTGGTAGCCATCCCGATCAGGAACACCATCCAAATCATGGTAAGAATCAAAGTACGGCCTCTCATGTCTCCTAGACTCCCTATCAAGGGGGTATTCTTCTTCATAACTTCTCCTCCTTGATTGAGGCCAAACATCAACAGCAGGAGGTGGGGGATAGTTCTCCCTCTCAAGAATATCCCGGTGGAAGGCATTTCTTGGGTAGACATTATCCCTTGAATACCGGTCATTGATTAACCTCCTCTCATCATATGAACCACCAACCCTGCTAAAATAAAGTAACTTAATGGACAAGTAGACATGAAAAATAACATCTTGAGCCAAAGCTTGAAAAAGAAATAAATGACAATAAGATTACAACCAGCCCAACAAACGAGACATTTGGAAAATATCAAGCATAATACGCTTTTGAAAGTAACATAAATTTTCAAATAAAATATTTTACCATGACAGCAAACATAGAGCAGTACTTACCGGTAGTTAGGCTCGTGGGCTGCACCATACCCCTCCAGAGCCTGTGGATTCAAGAGAATAAGCTTATGTCAGCAACATATACCAGTCAAGATAGGAGGTTAGGCAAACCCATTCCATATCCTCACTGCCCCCAACAGCTTTCTCTTATTTTTCTTTTAAGGATGTGATAGATGATGCCCAAAAACTAATGGACAATCCTAAAAAAATTTCTTGCATTTTTATCAGTATTTTTAAGGAGGAAACCACAATTACGCTGTTATTATCCCATCCTTGCTGAAGGCCATAGCGACCAGGATCCATTTCTCGCAAGCAAAACCACCCTGCAATGCTTTTCTCGATGATCGAATGTTTTAATTCCTTTTATTCCCTGTAATATACGCACAAAAGAAACAGACACACAACAGTCATGCCCATGAATCAACCTTAAATCAATAATTCCCCACGCATCGAGTTCTTATTAGCCTTGACCTTCATAAATCTTCAAATAAAATCAAACCCACTTCACAAACCAAGAAATAACCATATGACCCAATGGCCATTCCTCCAAAATTCTATCAACAACAACAACAAAATAAATATAAAAGCAATGATCTTGATTAGCAGAAACCAAACCAGCAACTAAATATCAACCAAAATAAAGTTATACAGATTAAAAAAAAAAACTCTAACAGTGAATTGCAGATACTGATCAGCTAAAAATATCTCAAAAGTTTCTCAGTAACAATTTTTATTGCAAAATTTGAAAAGAAGAAAATATTCAAATAAAAACCAAACCCACTTCACAAAACCAAGAGACAAACAAAACCCATCTAGCCATTTCTCCAAAATTATCTCAGCAAATATAAAAGCAATGATCTTGATTATCAAAAACCAAACCCATAAACTAAATATCACCCACAATTAAATTATACCCAAATCAAAAAAAAAAAAATCCTTAAAATTGGGCATATCACTACTAAAATCTCTCTCTCAACACAGCAAAACATAGAGAGTAAGATTCTTTATCATTGAATAACACAGAAACATCATCTAAATATCATAATTCAAATTAAAAAAATCCCTCAAATTTGGGAATTTGCATCATGTAAATCTCTCTATCAAATCAAAAAAAAAAAAAATCTTCAAATAACAGAAACCCATCAGCTAAATACAAGTGTATGTCTCTTTAGTAAAAATTAGATTGCAAAAATTGAGGTGGGTCTGTAATTTTTTAAACTAAATAAGATCAGTGAATACCAGGCAACAACCGTGGATGCAATTTGATAAGAAAAAATATGCTTCTTCTCCAAATTGAGATTAGTTGTTCATTCTTTCTCGTACCAAAGTCCGGTTCTTGTACCAATGTTCGGTTCTTTTGAATCTTACAATTGTTGTTGTTGTTGGGTTATTCGTTTGGTCTGTGTTTGTTTGCTTTTAGGGTTCCTTCTCTTTTCTCGTACAAAGAGACTTTATCGATAACAAAGAAAAAAAGAAAAGAAGTTATAAATTAGTCTCTCTAGTTTTTCAGAACGAATTCAATAGTCCTTTTCGAAGACGTAACCCTTTATCTACCATTGCTTACGAGCATATACTGTATTGATTTCGTATATACATTGATATCCTTTAAAAAAACTTATGGTAACAAAAAAAAAACATATATATATATATATATATATATATATATATATATATATATATATATATATTAACGTGTCATTTGATTACAGAAATGAAAGGTATAAAACAAAAATACATGAATTAAAATGACATTTGAATTTGAATTCTCATTCTGTTTTTTATATAAAAATTACAAATCAAAATAAAATTTAAATTTTTAATATTTATTTTTAAGATAAATAAAAATAATAATTAAAAAATAATTTTATCAACTATGATAATATTAAAAATGATAGAGATGATTGTAGTAGTGTTAATAGTAGTGATTATGGAGTATGAACAAAAGAGAAAAGAAGAAAAAAATCATAATAATAACAATAATATATTTTAAAATAATAATATCACTACTATAGAATGTGGCAGTGAAAGAAAAGTAGTGATGGTGATGATGATATAATAAAAATGATGATGGCAGTTGAAAAAAAATTATGAGAAGATAATAATAATAACAATTTTTTTTTCAAATTTTTTTAACACCAATGACAATAATGGGGGTGGCAGCCACGGTGGGGGTGATGAGAAAATAATGATAGAATAATAGTAATTTATTTATTTGTCATGTTTATTAATAATAATGGTGCTGGAGGCAGAGATGGTGATGATAGTATAAATAATTGATATACAATTATTATAAATAATATCATAATTTGTAGAAAAATTTTATTTATGTTCATTTATTTTTATTCTCACCTCATTCCATGAGAATGAAATTATATTTAATTCTCATTCTCAATTTATTCTTTTTAACTAAATATTTATAAAATAAAAATAAAATTTTTATTCTTGTTCGACATCATTTCATTTATTGTTATCAAATAGCACCTAAAAGTAATAAATTTTAATTGATTGAAAACTTCCTAACATTGATGTTTTTTCAGCCTTCACAAGGCATCGAAGCTTAGGAAGCATGAACATTTAAAAAATACATTGATATCGATATTGAACAAGTATTGAATAAAAATATGTGTAAAAAATGATCGAATATAGATAGATATGTGAGAATATGATAATAAATAATAAATTAAAATTTGAATATGTCGAGGATATGATTAAGATATGCGACAAACATAAATAGAAGATACGAGGGACACCACCGTTACTTTTGGAGGATTGAATTTGAATTTTTTTTTTAAGGAAAAAAACTCGGTTCAATATATATATATATATATATATATATATATATATGAGTTAAGACTACTAAGATATTTAACTAACTAGAAATTTACTTCAATATTTTTTCGATAATGATAAATGATCATATTTTTATATGAAAAATATTTAAAATAAAAATAAAAAAATTATTTTTGCAATTTTGATTATAAAAACATGATATCGTCATTTTTAATTTAAAATTTATCTAACTTTATCACAAATAATAAATTAAAATGACCGAATTAAAGAGAAAATTATTATCACAAATAATAAATTAAAATGACCGAATTAAAGAGAAAAATTATCACCAATCTTTTTACCATATTGTAATAGTTATTGAGATAATTTGATTTTTGGATTTTTAAATTATTTTATTGTTGAGTAGGTATAAACAACAGGATGTTTATCCTTTCCTCTTATGATTTCATGTATCCGTACATTTTATTGATTATAAATTATTGTTGGTTACATTGATTTTTAATGTTATTTATTTCTATATATGTGTGTGTGTGCGTGTCCATACTTCATAGCAAAATACTTTAGCCTTTTGAGAGTTTTATTTCAAATTGAGAGGTTTTTCTTGTAAAATTCATTAAAAAGCTATGACTTGAAACCTCAAAATAATTACAAGAAACAAGTAATTGAGCATTTAAATTTGAAAACCAAAAAGAAATATATAGCAAACTAAGCCTTCGCTATGTAAGTTTGTGTCACGACCTAAGAGTGTGCTATGATTGGTGTGAGAATCGAGAGAACCATGAGATCCAACTCAACTCAACTCAAATAAGCCTTGAATACCTATTTTATAATCTTTAAACGTGTAATACATCAAATATCATTTCGATTTACAATATCCTAACCTAATAATCATTATTTTATAACTCCAATATAGTGATAATTCTATACTATTCTTGCATTTCTCAAATCAATATAGTATAATTAATTTATACTACAATACCATAAAATATAACTACAAAGCTTGTAAGAATTACTACAAAATCAAACACAAGTTTTAAGATATTACAAGTAAATAAGTTGCTCGATCAATATGTCAACTCCAAGATAAAAAGGCACTCTCATAGACTACTGCAAAATTGAAATTGTTGAGAGTGAGCAAATCAACAACTCAATGAATAGATGTTATATAACATATCCAGATGAGAGAAACGAACTAAAGATGATAACTTAAAATTTGACTCAAGATGCAATGCCTATTTCTCCAAACCAAATACGTATCATAAATATCAAATCTTAAAATATTCGAAACCAATTCATATGAAATCATTGAAACATTTATATGGATACATATATCGTACTCAAATCATATCAAGCATCCGAATTACACTTATATGTCATAATCAAATCAAATCATACTTTTAAGTTTAGATCACACTCGAGGTGAACCATAATGTATCATTAGATACGAACACCCAAAGGTCATGCTTCTCGTGACTAAGTTTTAGTATTTTAGCTAACACACGGAGTTAGCGCTCTATCTATCATGCTTGCTAGAGCCTCGTATTATTGAGCTCAAAGGCTACGTCCCTCATAGCTAGGTGCCTTAAGGCAACCAAATCATATAAAAAACCATATAAACTTTGTGCATATTCAAATCCAATATATCAAATACAATGCATGCTCAAATCATATTTGATAATACAATCCAATACCAAGTAAACATTAACAAAAACTATATGAATTATCAAAATAATAGTTTAAAGTAAATTAGCATTTAAATTCTTAAATACATATCAAACGAAGTAAAACACTTATTCAAACATATACTCAAATCTCTTTTTAGATCATATCAAATCATTTTCGATGCAAAATCATTTTCAAAACTCATGAGGTCTATTTCTATCTAAGTTATAAGGAATGTGATTAAATCATAGGTAAATCGATGATGCATGACATAAATATCAAAAGAATTTAAAAGCATAATGTGCTATATAATATTCACTCACGAGTATACTCAATGGATCAGATGGAATCAAGGTTACTATGATGGAGTCGTCGACTTCGAAGAATCTAATAACATGAGATGGTGGAATAACCATCAATATCACATATCAAAGAATAATTCAAAACAAATGAATTATTCTCTAAATAGGAGTACAAGATTATCTATAAGGATAAAATTGATGGGTAGACTCAAACCGATAACTTTAACTAAACTTTATAGCCTCTCAACTTGATTCTAAACAATTACTTAACTATATACCATCATCAATCCTCAATTCAATCAACTTTCGCATATACAATCTTTTCTCAAATTCAATTCAAATCTTTAAACAATCAATTTTCAATTAAATCATCAATTCCATTCTAATTCACTCGATACTCATTCCATTAATCTTTAATTGCATTTACATAACTTAATTCTTCATTTACCCCACATTATTTTCAATTAAAAACCAAAATTTTGGATTTTTCACTATTCTTCACTTCGACCTCTTAATTAATCAAATTTACTCCATGCCACTTTAATTTAA